GCTATAATATTATAAATGCTAAATTATACAGAGCACATATGGAAATTAATTTAAAAATAGAAAATGAATACATTGCCCTGTATGAAGCAGTAACTGAAATAAAATTCTTGATAAGCTTAATCTATATATAGAAAAGAAAGTCGTGTTAGTTACACCACTTATAACTCAAGAACGGCAGAATAGATTTGGCTGAAAATTGGTAGGGAGGTAGCTTAGAGCCAGGAGACCGACATAGGATACTTTTTAATCAACATTTTTTTTACTTTTACCGAAAATCACGAACGGGGACGGGAACAAATGGGATTACGCGTACGAAGTCGCGGGCAGAAACTAGTTAATGATGTATTTACAAAAAATTCTAAACCAGTAAGAATTTATGAAGATAATTCAGGTGCTGTAGCCATAGCTAAATTTAGAAATTTTACTAAGAACTCTAAGCACATCGAGGTGCATTATCACTATATTCATGAAAGTGTCAAAGAAAATTTTATTGAAGTTATTAAAATTAATAGAGTCTGAAAATAATGTTGCAGATGTATTAAATAAAGCTCTTGGAAGTGTTAAATTTGTTAAATTCCGTGAATTATTAAACATAAGTTAAATTTATATAATACATAATTTGTTTAATAAGTTTAAATTTATATAAAACTGTTTAGTTACTTGAACCTGTTCTTAGAGCTAATTTGAATGTTTTAAATTACTTCCGCTATGTACTGATTGCAATATAAATGTAAGGAGGCATGTTGGTAATAAGCTTTACATTTATATTGGCAACACTGATTTTTTGTCTTGTAGTAGTAAAAATGATGCAGAATGTCTGTGGAATAAATTGAGGTTTATTTGCTAAATAAAAGAAAGTATGAACATTAAGAAAAGTGTTATTCTTCAAATTAAGACCGGGGCTCCGGCTCGAAGAGCAGGGGTAGAAACGGCTTGGGTTTAGTCAGTAAGAGACTAAATTGTTTTGTTATTTATTTTTTTTTGTTATTTTGTTAAATAAAACGTTGCCCCACACTAGGATTTTCTCCTGTGTCGTGGGTGCGTTTACAAACATACAATTTCACATACACAATGACACCCAGACCCGAAACAACAATTTGTGGATCACACAAAGTGTTGTTCCGTGCGGGAATCGAACCCGCGACACGTTGCACGGCAGCCGGTTGCCCAGCCACCGCACCAACCGTGCAGTCACCTATATAATTACCTAAAAGTCGCGTATTACTCACGTGAGTGTACTGTGAAAGGGTCTACTAGTTTCGAACCACAGAGGGGTTCTCCCTCATGAGCAGCGTGCGCGGTCGCGGCGATGTCACGCAGCCTATTGACCGCGACCGCGATTTTTAGGTCATTTAGTATCTCTCACGATAGTTATTATAAAAATTAAAAGAGACTCTCTCTCACCTTATCCAAGATGGAAGATGTCATTGTATAATTTCCTCCTCAAAAAAAGGCCGCCAGATTACAGAGAGGCGCCACCACCACATGCGGCGGCGCTAAACAAAATTAGGGACGCCTTTAAGGTGCTTGCCTAAAGCGCTCTCTAGTTATATTCTGCCTCTGACCTACGCTTTCACAATGTTCTTTAATACCTAATACCACAATATTCTTTGCCCGGTATATGGCAATAGGCTCACCCCCTATTACATGGGACTAATAACATATTAAATAGTAAATAGTAAAAAGCATTGTACAGTGGCATTAAGTGCACGTCTGCCTACCCCTTTTTTTTTAAGGGGGGAAAATCATCGAATGACTGCTCCCGCCTGGGTGAGGCGGAAGGGAGTGTCTGCCTACCCCTTCGGGGATAAAAAGGCGTGATGTTATGTATGTACCCCTTACTGAAAAGGGTAGGCAGGGGTATAATATACTATGTAACACCCATTTTTACTGGTAGGTCTGTTGCAGAGGGTATTCGTGTATCTGCATACTAGACACAATTACTGACTCCGTGCTGAGAAATTTTCGAAAAACCGAAAATACTGCATTCATATTTTGCATCGACAACATTTATTTAAAACTAGCGACCCGCCCCGGCTTCGCACAAGTGCAATATGCATGTATTATACATATAAACCTTCCTTAAGAATCACTATCTATTAACAAAAACCGCATCAAAATCCGTTCCAGTTTTAAAGATATAAGCATACATAGGGACAGACAGACGACGGATAGCGACTGTTTTATACTATACTAGCGGACCCAACAGACGTTGTCCTGCATATCCACTTGAATGTATAAACAAAAATTCATTCAAATTAGTTCAGCTGTTTAGGATAAATAACCTAAACATCGACTGCAGCGCCATCTACCGGGCTGATTTGTGAATATAAACCATTCCCAGATCCCCTTGAACACACACAAATCATCAAAATCGATCCAGTCGTTTGAGAGAAGTTCAGTGACATACACACTCACAGAAGAATTATATATATAAAGATAGAGATATGTTGGATGCACATAAACAAGCACATTTAAACGCCACGGGGGTCACCAAGACTGACGTCACCGGAGGATGTACCTTCAACAGTTTTATATTGGCAGTCAAAGCCTTAATACTGAAGAAGACAGAGGGTCGGCTTGCGAGGGATTTGGAGAACAACACAAACACCACCTTTACTTTCACTTTTTATTCACTTCCGTTGTTGCTTGTTCCCGCTAGGGGCGCTGGTTGTACTCGCCAACGTCAGGTTTGACGAGCAACCTAACCAAATTGATGTAACGAAACCATAGCGCGATCTATCTCGATATTACCACCCTCTATCGAGCGATGACAACTCTGACTAATAATATTTCATTATAATTAAATGTTGATCGCGCTATGATCCCGTTACCGCTCCGAACAAATACCGTAAGCATTTTCTGCCAGTCTGACCTCTTACTCATAAAATAAAACAATAACTATTGTTATGTAGTAATATTTTTATTGCGAATGTATTTTAAATTAAACAACCATATCTGTGAGGAATGCACAATGACACAACTTATTCATTGCTAAAGAAATATAATAAATAAATACATAAATAAAAACTTTCGGTTTAACATTAATGTTTTATTTTCTAGTAAACGACAAATTTCATGTGTAAATGTTGTAAAAGCAAAAACTACTTGTAGTATAGATAATGTAAAGATACTGTTAAACATGCCCTAAAATAACACGGTAAGGGCCGATTTTTCAATCATCAGGTTAATTATTAACTGTAGAATAAAATTGACATTTGACAGTTTTTAGTATGGAACAATTAGATACTTTCCTTAACTCGTCGAGTACCGGTTTTATAGACACAATTAAAGAACAATAGGTCGCGGTCACCGGTGACCGCTTGGTGTTTGACAGTTTAATCAAAATATATCAATACAATAAAACATTAAAAAAATAATTACACTTTCTTTAAACGATTTCAGGACCAACCAGCAAATATTTAAGAAATAAGTATATCGTATGACGCTAAAAAAACGTGACGTCACAATACACACACTCGTACAAAATTCATAGAAAACTATCGTTTTTGACAGTTCGAAAAAAGTATTGAATTTGACTAGTTGGCAAGTACCCAATTGTCAAATATTCGAAGTTATTCCTCAGTAATAATTTATCTAGCGTTGGAAAAATCGGCTCTAACGCTACGCTTGAAACGCTACTCAATTTTAAGTTGTGCTTAAGTATAGTTCTATCCCTACTATTTCTTTGTAAAATGACAGAGATGGCACGATATTTAAGCACGACTTAAAATTAAGTAACGTTTCACTATTCCGGCATAAAAGGCGTTTCATTGACCATGCTCAAACATATTCAAAAATCGAACGCTTGTCGATTCGCAAGCATACCCGAAATGAACATGTTAATCTTGAGCAACATTCCGACACATGCTACTAAGTGACAAGTGCTCAATTGAAGCATGCTTTCGTCCTTGGAATTAGCATGTTTAACAGTACTATCATATTAAAAATGCAAATAATCGATTTCAATATAGAAATCATTAGCAGTACAATCTAAATCTTTATTTGTTGGTCAGTTTTTACAACTCAATATACCTAAGATGTCAAAAAAATAAATGACAGCAATGCATAAGACGAACAAAATAACTTAAAACATTAATCTCCTCGGCAATAAAATTAAAATAACTCTCGGTCTAAAGCTGTCGAAACATAGTATTAAGAATTGAAATTAAAAACACAACAATAACTATATATTAAAAAAACTTATTAAAAAAAATACCTTCATATTGTGATATTTGACTCGTTTGATATAAAAAAATACTTTTGCACTATTTGTTCGTAAAAATCCCTAAACTCATATAGTCCATAGTTCATTATTAAGTCTGACTTTCAAAGGCATTTCAAACCTTTGGCCCTTATTTCATTAGGATACCATAGTCGTTCGAGCAGTCGCATTAGCGTACTAGCTACTTAGAAATGACGTAGCTTGCCACGTACCTAAGAGTGACGTCACGCGATATTTCACATCAATATTTCATCGAACGTATTTTTTTTATGGAATAGGAGGCAAACGAGCAGACGGCTCACTTGATGGTAAGCGATCAGCGCCGCCCATGGACACCCGCAACACCAGAGGAGCTACAGGTGCGTTGCCGGCCTTTTAAAATGGAATACGCTCTTTTCTTCAATACGTATATATTATTATAAGAACATAATTTATTTGGCGGTATTTCCGAACCTATACGACTTTCAAACCTTCAAGAAAAGAGCATATTCCTTTTTTAAAGCGCGGGCAATGCACCTGTGACTCTTCTGGTGTTGTCACTTATCGTCAGGTGATCCGTCAGCTCGTTTGCCTCTTCATAAAAAAAAGAAAAAATTATCTACCAGACGGACATTAAAATAAAAGAAAACGATTATATTGTATACACCTTGTAGGTCACGCGACATTTTGTTGGCCGTATCCTAATGAAACAGAGCTCTTATTTCACACATTTTTAGGGCTTCACACAGAATTAATAAGATGTACTAAATTAATACTAAATGGTGTAATTTGGCGTCTAGGGAGCATCGACCTTTATGTTCAGGATCTGCCAGAATATCAGCCATATCGGCAGGATCACTGAGGTCGTCAGGTTGAACAGCCAGTTCCCATACAACTGTAAATAAACACAAATGTTTCGTTTGTTTATAATTCAGATACAAAGTGAAAAAAAAGCGTTGCCCCACTCCGAACCAATAATTTTTGGATCACACAAAGAGTTGCTCCGTGCGTGAATCGAACCCGCGACATGTTGCGCGGCAGCCGTGTTTTTTTTTAAGTTTGGGAGAACTATTGTGTCGGCTCGACCGGAGTGATACTACAGCCTCACAGAAAACGGACGTGAAACAACGCTTACATTGTGTTTCGTCGTGAGTGAGGTTACCGGAGACCCAATTAACCGGGTTTCCCGAATGCCCCACAATCCCAATTCCCAAAAGGCCGGTAACGTATTTGTAACGCCTTTGGTGTTTCCGGTGTCCATGGGCGACGTCCAGGTGATCCGTCGAAACGTTTAACGGCTTCTCCCATAAAAAAAATATGATAGTAATAACTAAATTAGTATTATACAAAGAATCATAAACAAACCAATGGATACTAACCATAGAATCCGCAACAGAGAACATGATGGCCTGCATGGCGGCGTCGGAGCCCCGTCCGAGCGTGGCCAGCCAGGTGTCGTCGGCCACCAGCGTGCGGCTGTACGCCACCATGCTGGCCACCACCACCACCAGCGGGTGCACACACACGCACCACACGCGCTTCAGGAGTTGGACACATGCCCTGCGATGACATGGGTATGGTGAACACAAACTAGTAATAAATGGTCGTTTTAAGTCGTGTTACGCATGAACAGATAATGACTATGAGCCCTGGTTTGACTTGAAATTAGTCGAGCGTTGTATAATTATAAAAAAACGTTGCCCCACACTATGATTGTCTCCTATGTCGTGAGTGGGTTTACAAACATACAAGTTCACATGACACCCAGACCCGGAACAATAATCTGTGGATCACACAAAGTTGTACCGTACGGGAATCGAATCCGCGATGTTGCGCAGCAGCCAGTTACCCAGCCACCGCGCTAACCGTAAAGTCAAGTCTGTCATGAAGTGTTTTGAAGTCAGTTCTACAAAGAGTTTCATTTGTAAATGAGTAAACGGTATAATTATTTTTTTCAAATCATTATGTATTACGATGGACTTAGCACAATTCCACAATGCAAACTAATCCCATCAATTTATTCAACTACGCCAATGGAAGGTAGGTGTAAAGTCATTGTTTTGTTCAAAAAGAGAATCAAATAACCTACCCTCTTTGGGAATCGCACCCAAAACCGATTGCTCTTTTTACTCTTATAACACATACGACTAACATAATATCATGCCTATACTAAAGGGTAGACAGAGGTGCACACAATGTACCACCCACTTTTTACTATTTATGTTATCATTCCCATGTAATAGAGGGTGAGCCTATTGCTATATACCGGGCACAATTCCAGACACCGTGCTACTACTGAGATTAAAAACAATCGTTAAACCTTTCCCTGATCCGGGAATCGAATACGAGACCGTTTGCCCGGCAGTCGCACTTGCTACCACTCAGTCCACGACTAAGAAAGCAATCTGAATAAATAAAATAAGAAACAACTCACCGTGCCTTCCCAGATCCTTTGACGTAGACACTAGTCATCAAAGCCAAAGGCGTATAAATAACTGCAATAGCGAATCCGAGTGAAAAGTTCTGCATAGCAACACTTAGACAAACAGTGGACAGCTCCGTCAGTACTAGGATGTTGACTAGAGATAACTCCTCGTAAGTTATGGGGCCCTTGCGCAACATGTATGGGAGGAACGGCGTAATAAAGATTAGGAGTACTGCTATGCTAATTATTCCGAAGTAGACCGACACTTCTGGTGGTTTGTTGTAGTAGAGTGAACCTGGAATGATAGAAAATAAATCTATTTATACAAGGTGTTGTTTTAAAGCCGCGTCATTTTCTAGGAGATAACTCAGCTATCGATTCTGAGTCCGAATCAATAAAAAAAATTGTAGGTAAATATTTTTCATTTTTCTGAAATTACGGAAATCTGTAAGTGCGAGGTACACGCCGCCGTCTTATAACTAGCTTTATAACGCAGCTTAACACACACAAACTCAAACACGTAATTGATATTATTCCTAATTCCATAAAACTGCAATAAGAAACATTGCTGTCGCTTATTCTGAAATACTGTCGAACTTAAACGTTTTATTATAGCCGTATTTTTAACTATTGACCCGAAACTTTCTCTTACATTGAACCTTTAAGACTTCTGTGACATGCCCCCGAGAAATGCCACGGTTTCAAAACTACACCTTGTATATAAATGAAACCCGTTTCCCGTTTTCACGCCATAAGTTGAGAATGGCTGGACCGATTTGGCTGTTTTTTTTTTTGTTGTGTTTGTTATTGTCAGGAGAAGGTTCTTATGATACAAAAACATTCTGAAAATTTTATGGGAACGCGAGAAACGGAATTGCGCGTACGAAGTCGTCGGCAGAAGCTAGTTATGAATATTAAGTGTTTGAAGTTTCATATTGGATATTTTTTAAGGGGGGGAAATCATCGTATTACTTGAGAAGTTTGCAGTGCAGGAGTATAGGTGGTTTTTAGCCAGTAAGAGTCTGACACTCTCTGATTCAATATTAGACTCTTACTGACTAAAAACCACCCCATTTCTACTCCTGCACTTCGAGCCGGAGCACTGGTAACCTTTTACGTTCTCCACGGCTCCATGAACCTTTGGAAACTTTGTGTGTGTGTGAAACTTTAGGTAACTAGGTGTACAATTTTTTGGTATAAATAATGAAATCTACGTTAGAAAGAGTGATTTTTGCAGTTTTGCTCAAGAATGAATAAATATGCACAATGAGGATTTATTTAGGCCTGTTTTTGATGTATAATATTTCAACAATTTTTGGTGAAATATACATATTTTACCGAGTTCGAAAAAAATAGAAGGCACCGACTTCTAACCAATCAGTGGGTGGGTAACCTATCAGTACTAAACATTTTTTTTCAGCATTTTAGTATCCACTTGTTTGTTTTTAGTTTTTTTAATTCGGTCCTTTAAACGCAGTTTTTATTTTTTATACTGCATAATCCACTCTTTAGTTATTGTTATATTTTTTAAGTAAATTAAAACGAAAACTTACCATAATAAGACAAAATAAACGGTGTATTCATTACACCGTACCCAATAAGATGTAGTAGGAGATAATTAACGCCTATATTCAGAACACTCATATTGATGGTCGCTTTCTTTTTCTCAGGAGTTTTAACTTTCTTAACCTCCTGCGTTTCCTGCTCCCCTGGTTCTTCCGAGTCAGAATCTTTAGCTTTCTCTAGCTTGTGTTTACTTGACTTTGTAGTTACTTTCTTAGTTTGTTTGTCATTGTAGTCGCCATCTTGTTGTAGGGTAGTCACCCATAGTGATAGTGCTCTGATGAGCATAGCTACGCATAGCAGACATAGTGAGGGCATGTATTGACCTGTAAAGAACGTAATTCTTTTATTATGTTTCGTATAAAAAGCATGGCGTTGAGTAGGTGCATATTGTATAGATTTCTCCTCTTTTTTTACTCAATTGACTTTGCATAGACACACGACTATCAGTATTTGTGGTTAAATAAAAAAGGTAAGTACTATCGGCAAAATTTACGGTATAGCTTTTGAAATAGAATCCTGTTGAAAACTCGCTTTTCACAGCGCGTTTTCCCTTCAAACGCTCGCGCTGAGTGCATGCAAATATCGCCTAATGATGGCCGACTGTCAATTATGTCGCTTGTACATTTCGGTTTCAATTCCCGTACTACACAATTGTTTATGCGATCTTGATTATCGTGCCTGGTCTGAATGTGATGTGTATGTGAAATTTTAGAGATTGGGGAGTTTGTGAGATTGAGGAGGGGGTGGTTGGGCCTCCGGTAACCTCACTCACATGACGAAACACAACGCACGCGTTATTTCACGTCGGTCTTCTGCTCGGCCCTGGTATCACTCCGGTCGAGCCGGCCCATTCGTGCCGAAGCATGGTTCTCCCACACTTAAAATTGACTTAAAACTTATTGATTATTCTTCCTAGTCTGAATGTGATGTGTATGTAAAATTGCATGTTTGTAAACGCATCAACGACACAGAAGAAAAACCTAGTGCGACAAGATTCTATATAGAAAACATTCTTGGTTATAAGAGTGTGAGAGAGCCATGCTTCGGCACGAATGGGCCGGCTCGACCGAAGTGATACCACGGCCTCACAGAAAACCGACGTGAAGCAACGCTTGCGTTGTGTCGTCGTGTGAGCGAGGTTACCGGAGGCCCAATTACCCTCCCCTTCCCCAATCTCCCCAATCCCTGAATCCCCAACGATCCTCAAACTCCTAATCGCCAAAAGGCCGGTAACGCACTTTTAACGTCTCTGGTGTTCCAGGTGTCCATGGGCGACGCCGATTGCCTACCATCAGGTGATCCGTCTGCTCGTTTACCGGCTTATGCCATAAAAAAAGACTTACCAATAGAAATAAATCGATGAGTAGAAGCCAGGATATAGAAGAAGTAACTCTGATGGAACCTCTCCAGCAGGTTGTTCAAAGAGCGCAGAATACTTTCCAGTGCTATGCCCAGCTTGTAGAAGTTACAGAAAGACAATGAGTTCACACGGGGCACTTTGCCGCCCGGGTCTAACTCGTCTCGACCTTCCAGCGTCACCGCCTCGATGCCGAAGCGGTGGAAGAGGCCGTGGTTGCCGTCTGGCACCTGGAATCATGTATTTATTAATTACGTATCATTTTAGATATTTATTTGTTGGGAAATGGAATGGAAATTTGTATTCGTGTTTAATAATTTAAACTTAGGCTAATAACTATTCTCTTGTGCATGATGTGTTAGTGTTAGCCTTTAATTGATTGTTACCGATTTGTTGTATTGTTGTATAGGTATGGTCGTATGTCGTGACTGTTATTATAACACAAAATTAAAATACACTTCTGTGCTTTTCAAAATTCTTAGTTATATTACGTAACATAACATCACGCCTTTTATCCCCGAAGGGGTAGATAGAGGTTCACATTTTGGAACGTAATGCCACTGTACAATGTAACACCCACTTTTCACTATTTATGTTATGAGTCCCATGTAATAGGGAGTGAGCCTATTGCCATATACCTGGCACAGTTCCAGGCTCCGTGCTACTACTTAGATTTTTTTTTAAACCCAGTAATACTTTGCCCGACCCGGGAATCGAATCCGAGACCCCTTGCCCGGCAGTCGCAATTGGGACCACTCGGCCAACGAGGCAGTTTAAAATGTTGAGACGATTTTAAATGTTGTCATAGACCAAACAACTAATAAGTTATTAGTAATAACTAATAGAAGATAACTTCACAAACTGACATACCCCGTCAATCTGGCCTAGCACCATCTCGAACATGGTCCAGAAACCATTCTTCCATTCGTCCATACTGTCGCGGCCGCGAATCCAAGAGTAACTGCGAAACATAATGCATTTTCAATCAATGAATTACTAAGGGCCAGAGGACTGTTCCACAATGTCTTGATAGCCGATATGAAGTATCTGTGACATTTATCGGGTTCTTATTTATAATTTAACTAGCTTCACTTATAAATTTTTGTTGTTTGACGTTCAAAAGTGCCATCCTGGTTTAATTGAAATAAATGTTTTTGACTTTGACTTTGACTTATATGAAAGTGTGAGAGAGCCATGCTTCGGCATGAATGAGCCGGCTCGATCGGAGTGTTACCACGGCCTCACAGAAGACCGACGTGAAACAACGTTGTGTTGTGTTTCGTCGTGTGAGTGAGGTTACCGGATGCCCAATTCCCCCCCCCCCCCCCCCCACCCTTTCCCCAATCCCTGAATCCCCAACAATCCTCAAATTACTAATCCCAAAAGGCCGGTAACGCACTTGTAACGCCTCTGGTGTTCCAGGTGTCTATGGGCGGCGCCGATTGCTTACCATCAGGTGATCCGTATGCTCGTTTACCGGCTTATCCCATAAAAAAGGTAGTCTAAAAGGAGTGCCTTTTCTTTCTCTTTAAGATGACCTTTAGTGAAAGGTTATCTTATAAACACGCTTCCAGCCCAGCAATTAAGTTTTCATTTAAATATGAACTTTAAATCGTGTGTCGTGTGATATATTTTATAACGTCAGTACAAGAACTGACGGAGGGGGGTCAGCCCGCGAGTTGCAGTCGAGGTGCCCCCGTACTTACGGCGCATCGCCCGCCAGGCGCAAGCGAAACAACGTCGCATCGTAAGTAGGTATTTTGACTAAACTCGAGGTAACAAAAAAACAATAACGCCATGCCGGAGCCGCGCCGTAGCCGTGCTTTTTTAGATGTGCGATGACTTTAAGAGTGTAAATTGGGTACTTTCCTTAATCAAAAATAAATTATTTCGACTGTTCAATACAATAAAATATTAAAAAATAATAACACTTTCATTAACTCGTCGAGTACCGGTTTTATAGACACAATTAAAGAACAATGGGTCGCGGTCACCGGTGACCGCTTGGTGTTTGACAGTTTAATTGATTTCATGACTAACTTAATTTTAGTATTTTTGCAGCTAATTTTTAAGAAATAAGTACCTATGCCGTTTGACGCAAAAAAAACGTGACGTACACAATAACGATACACAATCTCGTACAAAATTCATAGAAAATCGATTGGCAGTTCGAAAAAAGAATTGAATTTGACTAGTTGGCTTCTTGATCAATAAGTTGTTTGCTAATGTCGGGCTCGCCACATAGAACAAACAAGTAATAATTTAACATTTAGGTTTTAAAGACCTAAAGGTCCACTAGTGCCATCTAGCGATCAGAAAAAATTTAATATCATTATGTTGTAGGATCTGCAGAAACAATACTTTTGTCCACTTAACTACATGATGCTATAATTACCTTTTTGCAAAAGAGTGATGTATCCCTGACTTCTGACATAGCTTATGAACCAAGTTCACAAGATCTAAATTAGGCAGCTGACCATTTAAACCTTCTATTTTCACCTCAATATATCCTGAAATAACACAACATAATATCACGCCTTTTATGCCCCAAGAGGTAGGCAGAGGTGAACATTACGGCGCTTAATGCCACTGTACAATGTAACACCCACAAGTTACGAGTCCCATGTAATAGGGGGTAAGCCTATTGCCGTATACCGGGCACAATTTCAGAGTCCGTGCTACTGCTGAGAATTTTATTAAAATCCAGTAATAATTTCCCCGACCCGAGAATCGAACCCGGGACCCCTTACCCAGCAGTCACACTTGCAACCACTCGGCCACCAAGGCAATCCCGAAATAAATGATTGCGTTGATTGACAGCATTGAGAGTCTGCCAGATTTTCTAACCAGCAAGTGTACATATTAAAATCGTTCAATTTTGAACCAACTCAATTTACATATGTCTTTGAATTAATTTCTATGTTCAATTCATGGATATTACGCCATAGAATCATCTACGTACAATTAAAATACATAACAAAGAAAATCGTGTGCAGGGAGTAACTGGAAATAACTACATAATATGTTGCATTATTTTATCATTATTGTATGCGACGCTGTGATATTCTTTTCCAAAGAGCACTATCTCATACAATCCAGCAGGCATAATTATCTTACTATTACTTACTTATCTGTGGAGTGCTAAATTCCAAAAGAATAGCAGCCTGAATGGATCCAGACCTTCCTTTCAACGTCCCCGGATTCAAAGCCTTTTTATGATTCCGTCTCAATGGAATATTAGGGAAGAAACTCTCCATATTAAACGCAGGAGTACCAGGCTTCCAGAAACTACCAAGACTTGCGTGGAATGGCTCATTTTCATTGTGCAAACCGTGGTAAGCTTCCAGCCACGCCTGCATTCCTAGTTGATCATGTTGTGTGACTAGGAAAATTATGTCTTTGGCCCAATATTTTTGTGCTGGAAAAAAAACAAGTCAGTTTAAAAACCATATAATAAACATTTCGATAAAAAAGAATAAAGATCTGTCATTAAACTATGTATATGTACTTACGCCTTGCAAACTTGGCAAAAGCTAACATAAGTGCTATGCCAGCTGCAGTGGTCTTCTGATGGGATCCCACATTCCTGTATGGAACGGACACCACTAGAGCCTCGAGCGATGAAGTACGTGGAGCTCGCAGTATTCCATACACATTGGTACCTCTGAACACCTGATAAAAATATTAAAAGTAAACTTTTTTTATACCACAACGACGGTTGCAAGAAAAGCACACGGCCCACCTGATGGTAAGTGGTTATCGTGGCATATGAACACTTGTAAGTTGCAATACATGGAGAATTACAATCATGTGCCTTGCCGACCCTTAATAAACCTATTTACTCCTTTCTTGAAGAACCCTATACCTATTGTAACGGGGAAAACCTTAAACTATAAAATATGAAACCTAGTAATGTTTTATGTGATTATCTTCACTCTGTATCACAAAATTAGATATAGTTTAGCATACAAAATCTCGATTCGATTACATACATTTATTTTATTGAAAGAGTGATACATAACTTTTTTTATTAACCTTTTAACCGCTTATGTCGCATACATGCGACTCATGTTTCGGTGTCCATACCGCCCGTGTCGTATTTTTGCGACAGAGAATATGCATGTTATTTTCGTCCTATTAACACAACTGCTTCTTATTTACTGTATATTTTTTTATTAATTTTCGATTTGTAGGTGCGCTTTAGAGGCATGTCAATTGATATTTAATTAGTGCTTAAAAGGTTAAGGAATGTGGTAAACAATCAGACCGATCTCATGATGGCAAGCAATGCCAAGGAGACCTACAACACCAGAGGAGTTATAGAAGTATTGCAGAACTTTTAAAACGACATATAGTTTTAATCTTATACTTAACCCCTCGAGCGTCCTTATGAGCACCCAGTGGATCAATAGATTTTCTTGCTTACATAAGGATAAGGAAATTCGTAAGGAACGCGGACGCTCGACGGGTTAAACCAATACAGAATATCGGCCTAACACCGAACTATACATCTTACTATCCTACTAATATTATATATTTCTATAAATGCAAATTTTTGTATGTTTGTAACACCTCCACATCAAAACGGCTAAAGGGATTAAGATGAAATAATAACTGGAATAACACATAGGCTTGTTTTTATACCACGATAATGCGAGTAAAGCCGCTGGCAGAAGCTAGATAGAAAAAAATGTCCTTTAATATAATAGTATACAGTAGAACTCACTTGTCCTCTCCCCAAGGGGTAGTGAAGAGTAAAGTTGTGGGTGTAGACCTCCAAATGTATATGTGACATCATTCCCACCAGCCAGGACACTGGCATTACATCCATCTCTTCATACTTCGTCTGAAATATTATTATTATACATACACATGAAAGAGAGGAAAGAGGTATGTAGGAATCGTAGCAATTGGCATTCTCATTCAGTCTCTGCTTACCTCAGGACACAGGTGTGAAGTTATGTATGTATGTATGTATGTATGTACATACATATCTGACAAAAACTAGACGCCCTCCACATTGCGTGTCGCAGAATGCTGAATATGAGCCTCTAGGATGGTTTGAAACTCATCGAGTTCCTCGTTGAACAGTTACGTTAAATAGTGCCTAATTATTATGTAACCTATACTTTTGGTAATAATTTTAGATGTAGTTAATTGTAGTGTGTAACTAGGTTCCCTCTTTACTTTATAAAAATTGACTAGATGTATTATAAATAAAAAACTGTATGACAAGGGCACGGACCTAGAGTCCGTGGAGAAATAATTTATAACATTAAAAAAAAAAAAAAAAAAAAGAACAGTTACGTGAATAAGCCGAAAACATCAACTTACAAAGTTATAATCCCACTGTAATCTCCAACCTGCCATGCCAAGTGTAGATTACTACAAACCTTCATATGAACAGAAAGGCTATAGTCAAGTAGTGGACTAACGCAGGCCGTTGTTGTTGAACATGATTATAATAATTTATCAAACAAAAGTCAAAGTCAAAGCATTTATTTCAATTAAACCATAGTTTGGTACTTTTGAAACGTCAACAAATATAAAATAAATAATAGTCTGTCAGTCAGTCCGTCAGTGAAACTAGGTGAAGCTAGGTGCTCATTCCAAAATGTAGATTCGAATGGAGAAGAACGAGCAAGAAACTTCATACAAACAAAACATGTAATAAATGCACTGAATCCTCTTATCAACAAATTAGAAAAGTTAAATTTATTTCTTACCTCTAATTCGAGCAGCAATTCGTTGTAATATTGACTGGCGGACTGCTCTGCATTAAATTCGTTGGTCACCAAGCCAGGAAGTAAAGCATTCTCAGAGAAATAAGTCTCATTGTTGAAATCTCTATGGCCTAGCAGGACGAACCATACCAGGGCACCAACATAGCATAGGAAGCAGACAGGACCGTGCACTCTCTTCAGCACCCTCACCCACTTCGCTGAACCAACATCAGGGTCTGATAATAGACCCATTGTGCTATAAACCACTAAATAAGTTCACGGTTTTAAATATAACCTATGGAGCACAATTCTTATATGCTTTTAGTCATTACAATTAGAATAGAACAAAATTTTTATCAAATGAAACACCGCTTGTCTATTATCTTTTATTTATCAGCAGGTGTCAACTGCCAAATATATTGAGTGACAGTGACATTTATTATTGTACCATAGAGTCCTCAAAACTTGTCTATGGATATATAAAGTTTTTCGATTAAATCAAATATTTTTAATAATATTGAAATATTTATTTACTTCGGTCAGCTGATTTGCTCGCATTCTTCTAGAATATAATGTAGCGTTAGCATTTAAGACTGTGTCATATACTTAATTCTGTATTATTACTGAGTCTTAAAAAGCCGACGCATCGAACCCGAGACATAATTTCTAGATAGCTGCATTTGTGTCTCTCGATGCACAAAGATACGTATGTTGGAGTGGTGTTTAAATAAAACATACACATAATGTTCACTTATTTTAATAACTTTTTTGCCGCCTATACAAATAACCTCGCTCAAAAGTACTTTGTACCGTTTCAAAGGGCACTCTTCTTGTTTCTCTCATTATTAAATATGATACAATTACGGTCAGGAAATTAACAAATGCGAATGCTAGGAAAACTCCAGATAATCCTAGGATGTCCACTGCCGGTTTGAATATAAACAGAAGTATAAAGTTCGCAATAAACAATGAGCACATCACGGTGCCCGTCCCGAAACTGTTCATCTGCAATAAAAAGAATTCAGATAAAGAAAACACGCCAATCTCGTGATAAGAGGAGTGAATGATATTTTTCTAAAACCGGACGAATACCGAGAATTTTTTTACTAAATCGGGAAACAAACCCAAAATTCGTTTCTCGACAATAGCACCTCCGGTCATCCGAACGAATATCAGGACATAATTATAACTAATATTTTTAGGACTGACCACTATGGTCCCAGGGAGCCACTGGATATAGCCAATCGATCTTGAAGGTCTAAAGGAACGCTTATGTTCAATAGTGGTCGTCTAGTTTAGTTGATATAATGATAAAAAATCATCAAAAACATTATTATACTCACTTGCGGTGGCAAGCATTCAGCAATTTGTATGAACGGAATGTTTACTGCGCCGAGCTGGTAAAATATGCAGTAGAGTATCATAACTAATGGTATACCCCACTCCGGAGCCCACGTGAAGTACTGCATGCTGGACAGGCACGCCATACAGCAGCCCGATAGGAAACATGTACTTATCATTAGAACCTGAGGAAAACAGATTTAGGAAAATAAGGGGACTTGTACAGACAGGTTTAAAAAAAAATAAACAGGTCAATAAAAGTAAAGAAAGAAAATTGTTATCAATTAGTAAGTGGCGCAGACACATTGTCATGCTGGACAACAATAAATTTAAATTTTGCTAAGTATTAGAGAAACTTTTGTCAAAATGAAAATTCCATTAATAGTTACTTTATCACATACGAGAACCGAACTCGAGACCCCTTAGCAGCAAAGCGATCAAGACCCCTTTTAAAGCCTCAGTTTCACTCGCATAATTACTATTTATTCGTAAAAACCGAACAAAAATCCGTCCAGCCGTTTTTAAGTTTATCCCGTTCACGCAGATAGACGCGTAAAAAATCTTGACGTTAATCTTACCCGTCTAGATACAATTTCCACTATAAATACGGCGACTCCACTCGTAATTGTGACAATTATGGCCAGCATCACAGAGCAGAGATGTGGCGAAAAGCTTGGCGCTGCTTGCTGAAAGAATTGACCAGCAAACGCCTGCACAGCGATCATACCCATGAACACGCACAAATTCATTTGAACTAATAATACTACCAAGGCGCGTTTTGCTGAGTTCGATGTTCCTGAAATTAATGATGAAATTCGGTTAAAATAAGTACCTACAACTGCAATTACAAGTAATCGGACTACCGAGGACAATAAACCATTAATGGTTCAATAAATAATTAATGGTTCATGTTTAAATTCCCAATTTTCTATTATGAAAATGATGGCCAGGCAGCGGCGGGACAATTGGATTATTTTAAATGCATTTTTTTATCTCAAACAATAATAGCTATAAATTGAGCCCGATATCTAGTTAAAAATTCGCTTATTAAAACGATACGCTACACTAATTATGTGATAGCGCGACGACAAACATTAGTAACTAAAGGAATACAACATCATGATAATACCATCATTCATCAAAATATTATTTTCATACAAATAACCTTTATGACAATTTACATGGCAGTCGTACTAAAAATTTTAGCCAGGTAACATGTTGCTAAAATTCTTTGGCACCGGCTCCGCACGGATGATCAAACTGAATCTTTTGTAACAAATGCTCCTTTTCTACTAGGCTATCATAAGCCACAAGAGCTTTTTGTACGTGTATACCAACCATTGTAAATGGAGGGAGGCGAGGCAAGCAAAAGGCGGTAACGGTGTTGTGTTGTGCAACAAACTATTCGTCCAACAATGTGTCGTAAGTGGAAAGCAAAAAGTTTCAATGTACTAGGACTGAATGCAACGCAAGAGGTCACTAGTTGCTTGAGTATATTTTGCAAACTAATCACGGTCTCACGGATTCAGACTAAAGAGTGAACGAGTGAGGACGTCTGACAAAACTCAATCTAACGTTGTATCAATGACGAATCTATCGACTGTAATTACCAAGAGAACATAAAATTGAAGATGCGAGAAAAGTAAAGGCAGAGTAAAATATTATAATCACTGCCTTTGGGCGCTAGTGGGTGGCTATTCTGTTGAAAATACTTATGTAGTACATAGGTATATTAGTCATTTTCAGACTTCCAGTCACAAAATCATCATTTCCTTATCATGCTGTTGACTTAAAACTTACCGACAGAAGTCAGAATTAAGATAAATAGTTTCTTTGTAAGATAAGTGAAAAGTTTGCACATTTACCTAAGTAAATACTAATTATCACACTCATAAAACCACTTACGTAATGTTATCCAAGCACTGTTTGATTTATTAATAATGCCTTCAATCTTAGGAGTATTTTCTTCATTTAACATTTCTTTTTCACTTTCTAATTGAGGGACTTTCATCTCTGGAAAAATGGAATGTAGAAAATAATTAATGAATATCGAAACGCAATCGATTAGTAATGTAATTGTGAATTTCAAAATAAATCATTGACATAGTTATACCGGCCACAGTTACCAGGAGTTCAGACGGTCATGCTACTACGAGTCACAAGAAAACATTCACAGATTTACTACGTTTTGTAGTGACCACGCCCTCCATAAGTAGTGACCAACACAAATATACACATCTCTTTCTACAATACTTCTAAACAACTAATGAAAGAAAGAATAATAAATATGTAACCACGTAACATTTATAAATCACGCTCGAGGGTCCGATTATGTTATCTAAAAGAGCTTACCAATTTGATTGATATTTTCATTAATTAGTTGACTTTTCAGATAAACGATTTCGTCTAAAATTTCTTGATTAACCTTTGATGCACCTCGATAAAATTTTAGAGATTTTATTGCTTCCTACAAAAAATACACTTAAAAAATATCACACCCGTTACATAATTATAAACTATTAGGCAAATTGACAGGCATTAGCTTAAAATTTGGTGTTCGACAATATACTATTACTTTTTTTCCAGCTGTAATTTTAAATATTTTCGAATAACTTACCTTTTCTTTTCCTATTCTTAACAAATAAACGGGTGTTTCTTTAAGACACATTAGTAGGAGTACAAATGTAACAGCTGTAGTTAAATTCAAGTAGTTGACGACTTCGTAACTACAGAACCAGCCTTCTGTATAAGAAGCGAGTGTACCTAGGTTATACATGAACGACATTATGGTAAGAAGAGCTCCCCTGATGGATGTTTGACTCATTTCACCAATGTAAACGACACCAGTGACAAAATGTAGCCCCGTTCCAAGTCCTATAATGTATCGACCAATTACAAGTTGCGTTACATTCTTTGCAGTTGTAATTGTTGACCAGGCGAGCTGAAATTGTAAGAGATTAATTTAGGTAAGTAATAAACATTATTTGCATAAGGAAGTTTTGTTTTGATGCCTGTAGGTTTTATTCGTTGGGTTGTTGTTGGATTTTTAGAGTTTTCTCAAATCAACAAAAATTTCATACACATGTTAATGTCAACTTATTACGCTGTATTATAGGCACTAGAAACTTTCCTTCTATTTTCTAATACATGTACATATACACAATTAGTTTTAAACTCACCACAAAGCATAGTCCACTTAATATTTCTGTCCGTTTTCGACCAATCCGGTCGCTTATATACCCAGCAATAACTATAGAGGTTAGGGAACCCAACATGATAACTGAGGATATCAGATTGCTATCACTCTTCGTGATTGGATATCCTATTGGAGAGTCTTCGCTTTCTAGAATGGGTAGTGTATAAGATGTCCATGTGTTTCCAATAGCTAACATGAAGGTTGGTACTGAAACTGGAGAAAAAAAATTTTATGCAATATAATTATGAGCCCCTCTACCCAATATAAAATAGTATTTTATATATATTAAAGTTCAAATGAAAATCTCTAAACTGGGGCACCTCCCGGCTCGGGGCCTGTGGCATTGTGCTGACTTTCCACACTGTAGTTACGCCACTGATACTTCCTATAATGACGAAAAACCTTGGTGCGCTTTATGTGATATTAACTCTCTTACGCAAAAGAAGCCCATAATCCAGGCTGCTGCTGCAGGCTCTACTGTGACATCAGGTTCTTGATGTGCATTGTTTTTAACTACGCTTTTTATAGAGTACATGTACGCTATTATTCCTTTACCCGGTTAATGTTTTCATACAATAACAAAACGGGTAGCAGGTAACCCAAATAGGTAAAGCATAAGGATAAATTAAAATTAAAACCGTGCGTGGTTCTATCTTGGTAATACAATCGTTTTACAAAAAAATAAAATGTTTAAAACAAAAAATAACTGGTGAACCATTACAAAATGCCAACTTTTAAAGCGCATACCAACTCATTACATTATAAAAACATCACGCCATGTAATTCTCGAAGAGGTATCTCTTGTCGGGTGGCACGTGCGATGTGAATGGTACCTACTTTAATATTTTTAAACTGAAAAAATATTTACTTTTTTAAATATTTTTTGTGTTTACTTTATACATCGAACGTACTCCTTATGGTAAGTTGTTTTGCCGCAGGACGAAATGGAATAGATTTCACGTTGTATGAATGATGTTATTACGAAAAGGTCGTGGCTTTAATTTATTCTTATGCTTTACTTATTTGCCGCGGAGAACTTAACAGATTACCGGGGCTCCGGACCGAACTGCAGGAGTAGGAACAGGGTGGTTTTTAGTCAGTAAGAGTCTGAAACTCCCTCAAACAAGAAGTCATTCGATGATTTTCCCTCCTTAAAAAGATGCTTTACTTATTTGGGCTACTTGCTACCAATTATGTAGTTGTATGTATACGTTAAACGATCTGGAAGAGCAATAACATATATGTACTCTATAAAAAAGATATTTGAAAACAATGCACATCAAGAACCTGCTGTCATAGCCTGTACATACATTACGCGAAAATTCCAGTGACATTCTACAAAATCGTCCAAGTAGCTACGTGAAATGAGCGGCGTATTTACATTCTTATCAGTTACACCTCTTTATAATTATTTATGTGTATTACATATAAACTGTGTATAAGCGGTAAGTCAAGTAACAGTTCGGTGACCTCACTACTTAGACGGGACGAGTGATTCTCTGTTTATTTCAACGTAAATACTAAAGAGCTAAGCAGAAAAGGACATATTTTTGTTGCCTAATGAGTTCTGTAATTCAATTGTAAGAAATATTTAACCGAAATACTTATACAACAAATCTTAATATTATGTGATAACATAACAACATGACATCTACAAGTTTTGTTGAACCAGGCATCATTTTGAAGTCCTCATATTCAGGAGCTATGCGATGATCTATGAATTAACAGAGCTGCTAAAAATTTACTACCTACCTTAAAGAATATTTTACATAGGAAATATTAAATTAAACTCACGTAAAAGCGCTACAGCTATTTGTACAACAATCGGATTCATCTTATTATGTTTCTTATTTACATTCAAACTCGATAAACATTCACTTCGGAAATCCAACACATAAAATTCTCCGAATAAATTATATTTTCTCTGTATGAATATTAAAAACAATCGACACTGGCTTCCACTAGAACATAATTCACTAAAATAAATATCTAAGCAAATGCTTCCAACTGTAGGTACACCACATAATGCTACTTACAATACTTGCTCATTTTATTTATATTAAATTTATCAAAGAATAGATAAAACTAAATCTTTATTCAAATAAGTACTCGATGGTACTACGTGTGTTCACAAGTACTTCAAGTTTAATAAATGAAGCGTAAAAAGAACGCTAACATATGAATAACTGGCTACAGATCTTGGTTTCACTAAAAAGTTGTAATTGCATTAAGTTAGAATAAAACATAGGTTGTTTTTTTTAGGGGGAAAATCATCCAATTACTTCTCCCGCCTTTCCTTGGATTAGACGAAAGATAGTGTCAGCCTACACCTACAACCCGTTAGGCCTTCCGCGGCTCAGTGTCGGGCATCAGCCTTCCTGCGAGCCCCATTTGTGGTGGTCTGATGGCTCTTTGAGGCCCGCGCGGCACATGATGCGCCGTACGCACGGATCTGGTTCTGTGTAATCAGCTCTGCTAATAAGTTAATATTGTTCTTGTTGCTGTTTAGGTACATGTATTTATTTATTTACCTAAGTACTCGTGTATGCAAGCCTGTAGCCAGCATGTACTTGTATTCATTCATTCATATATAAATTATTTATTTATTTTAAGTATAAATATCAATTCACCCTTACTACTTATCCATCCAAAGATTGTCTGTAAGAGATCGCTTTTTAGTGATAAGACCGTCATTTGTCCTATCGATTTCTGAATGTTTGTGTGTTACATGGTGTGCAATTAATACTTATGTTGTATGTAGTTTTTGTATTGTATTGTTTTGTAAAAGAGACACTATATGTTATATATCTATCTATTTATTAGCAATAGGTTAATTAATGTTAACTCCTTGTTATTATGGGATACATATCATGATTATAAACAAGGGGCATCCGTCTTATAAATGAAGGAATATAATATAATACGTTAAAGGTACAATACTTATTTTTCGAGCGTACAGCGCGTCGCGTTCCGCGCGCGCTTCACGGAGCCACCGGACCACCAGATGGGGCCCAATAGAGCTGATGCCGATACGGAGCCGCGGAAGACTTAATGGGTTGCCGGTTGGTTTATGCGGTACAGTATTGGACTGTACCGCATAATAAACTGTTAATACACATATGTCTTAACACCCATTGTGTACATCGTTAACACACATTATGTACATAGTATTTCTCATTATTACATCACTACCTGATCTATGCAAAATCCTCCCCATCACTGCCAAGTGGAAGTGACGTAGTAGAAAGAGATAGACATATGGAAAAAGCGGAAGGAGGGCAGCAGAAGGCCTATCTCAATTACTCTTTGAATACCGTCATTATAGACACAATTAAAGAACAATAGGTTGCGGTCACCGGTGACCACTCGGTGTTTGAGAGTTTAAATAAGCTTCGAATAAGGTAAGTAAATTAATATGCGTTATATTGATAGGTACAACGCTTCTATTAAAGCATTTACATAAATTGAAAATAGCTTCGCTATCAAGGGACTTGCCAATAATAGACAATGGAAACATTTAATTTCAAACAACACCATTACCATTGAGTAGTCAGGTAAGTACCTATCCTATATTGTGTAATATTAGAATCTCTATTGATAAGAAAAAATCTGTTGATCTAGTCAAATTTGTATATTTCACAACGCCATTTTTATCTTGTGTGTGATTATGTTGTTGAATTTCATTGACATAATTTATTCAATGCCTACTTGTACTTACATAAATATTTTAACACTAATAAATAATAATACATCTACTTAAAATATTTGTTTAAAAATTTGTAATAACATAATAAGACCCCAACTACAACGGGCGTGTTGTGGATTTGTGATATTCTCTCGTGTATAATGAGACACGCAATGAATTCGCAGCGATGTCCTAACAGTTTATGTTTTCCTGGTACCACGAAGCGCCTTTCAGTGGAATAGTGGCACAACTCAGACAGAGCTGCCCAATAGCTGTCTGTAGGACTGAATTTTCTTCACACTACCTCACTTTATAGTTTCATTCAGAGAGGCCGCGAACATAATTTTTATTTTATTTATGTTGTAATTATTAAATAATATTAGATAGATATACATTTTATATAAATACTTAAAACATAATAATATGCACTTATTAAATTTATTGTTTGTAAATTGTGCTTTAATGTCGTCAGGCCAGGCCCCTCAGTCGCGGAGCGGACTCAGTCGTAACGTTATTGTCATCATAACAAAACTGTTACGTCAATTTTGCCTATTTTCACCAGGATAGCATAAGAACTAAAGAGGTGTTTTATTACCGAAGACTTGAATTTACGCATTCATTATATTTTTTTAAACAAGCGATGAACATTGATGAACTCGTGAAAAAATAATGAAAATAACGCTACGATCGACGTGAAAAATTGAAATTATTTTAGATGGACCATCTCATAGTAGGACTTAAAATCTCCCCCGGTTGTATTCGCAACATCATGCTCCACGTCTAAATACCAGGGAAATATGAACACAAGGCGTTCGCTACGTCGTCATATAAATAAGTACTAATAATAATAAAATAATGTATTATGATGTTGTATGACAATGGCCACGCCCACTTCTTAATCAGCATTCAGCGTAAATACCTACCAATCGTAAGCGTGTGTGTATAATTTCATACTATAAAGTATGTATTTATAAATATGGACACAAAAGATGGAACGAATATTCACATATTACATTTAATTATTTTTAACTTGCCCTCCCAGGTTAATTAATAAATAATTGATCAATCGTACAATGTCATTTGACTAGGTTATTCAGGCTAAGGTCAACGGCATTATGAATTTATTGACTCTTTTAGTGTTATGGCGCTCTAGTAACTCGATGTTTTGTTTTATTTATTTAAATTGTTTGAACATATTTATTTATTTATTTCCATCCATTTCACATAGAACACACATTGAAAAGTATTGTACATAAAATTAATTTACAATACTTTTCAATGTATGTACTATTGATTGTAGACACGTAGACATGTAACCACAATTACTGAGCACTTATTCGACATGAATTTTGGTCATGTTACTTCTACGTTACATCGTGGTTACCGGCCGTGGTTCTGAAAACTTGCGCACCTGAATTGGCTCCAATCTTGACACGTTTGTTTCGCCTATCTTTAGAGACTGGTCAAGTGCCGAATGCGTGGAAGCTGGCCGACGTACAACTTGTGCCTAAAAAAGGCAGCCGTGCCGACCCTAATAACCACAGACCTATCTCGATCATGTCCACGTACTTTTACAGAGTATGGAACGTATACTGAATGATAAGCTCATGGCTTACCTTGAAGGTAACGATCTCCTCAGTGATGAGCTATACGGATTTCGCCGAAACCGATCTACTGGGGACCTTCTTGCGTATGCCACCCACATCTGGAGCGAGGCCATCGAGAACCACGGGGAAGCGCTTGCCGTACCGCTCGATGTCTCGAAGTCCTTCGACAGGATCTGGCACGATAGTCTTGTTGGCAAGCTTCCTGCATATGGACTCCCACTGGTTTGTGCAGATGGATAATAGACTTCCTGAGGGATAGATCGGTCCGAGTGGTCATTGATGGCTGCTCATCCGATCAACTTAGTATTAACGCCGGGGTTCCTCAGAGGTCAGTACTCTCAGCAACACTGTTTTTGCAGCACGTCAATGACCTGCTCAAGCCCGATACCTTTGGGTACGCAGATGACAGCACTGTTGTTGAAAGGTATGTGTCCAAAGCACGAACCAATGCAACTCAAATCCAGTCTCAGAGAGAATCCATGGTAGAACGCCTGAACCTGTCCTTGGAGGCGGTTTCCGATTGGGGTGACGCCAACTTGGTCAGATTTAATGTCAATAAAACCCAGACGTGTCTATTATCTTATTATTGTATTAGTTGTCGTTCGACGTGGAGGACTGGGGAGGCCTTTGTCCAACTGTGGACGTCTTCCGGCTGTTGATGAATTAATGAATGATGTGTCTATTATCAGCAAAACAGGGTGGGCTCCACTGGCACCTAGTTTCCGAAGTGAGTCTGTTCCGATGGGTGACCATCTCGAGCTTCTAGCACAAGTTTGGTCGTGTATGGAACTATGGAATACTGCTCCCATCTTTGGGTGTCTTCAAGTCCCGAGTAAACAGGTTGCTCATAAGTAGGCGTGCTCCATCATCAGCCACATCATCGCTTACCACCAGGCGAGATGGTGGCCAAACGTCGACCATAGTATAAAGAACACAGTAGGTTATCTAAGGCCGCCCGCCGAGTTATTAGCCTACTCTTGCGTTGATCCCCAGGGTTGTCACTTTTACTTTTAGTTAATATTTTCGAATAAGCAGCACTTGATCTAAATTTATGAAATGAAAAGCATATTATGATTGAATATTTTATCAATTTATAAATTTAGTAAAAATTAAAAGCTTATAAAAAGATTATTAACATCTTAAAATAAACTTTAGCTCTATACATAGTATTCAGAAAGTAAATTTGGGAATACATTTATATGGAAAAATGCAACTCGGCTACGCTCTTAACAAATCAGATAAACTGTGAAATAAACAATACAATACCACATTTTCTTATAATATTTAAGTATAGTAGGTAATTACATTTCTGGTTGAGTAGGAACTATGAAGAATGATAAGAGTAAAAATAAGTAAGTAGTTATCTCATCATCAAGTACCTACAAATTATATTATGCTAGAAAACGTGACTAGCTTACCTTTCCTGTTCAATAAATAGGTACCTAATCTGAACAGAGACAGTTCTGGAATCGATTAATTATTAAGACACCCAAACACACAGCAATACGTTCTTCTACGATTATCAGACATTTTTTATTTCATTGAACAGTGCCGAAAAGCCGTGAAGCGCGCGCGAACCTCGTACAGTGTCAGCCCTGCCTGGCGCACTGAGAAACGGGTCGAGATTTTGTTAAAGTGTGCGTGCGTCGACGCATAGATACTATGGCGCACACATATAAGCCGCGCGCGGAGCATTTGTATGAAGATAACCTACTTTGTTCTTTATACTATGCGTCGACCGTCGACCAAAGTATGAAAAAAATGTTAGTACCTATAAGATGTATAAATTCAGTAAGATGAAGAAAGTCAAAGACATACATAACAGTTCATTAAAAATTTATTAAATTATACTATTTTTAATGTGCCCCAATAGTGATAATACTTAATCATAATTATACTTAATCATAATTTATTTCCTGAGCTGTAGTTGTGTCTTATTTCTTTATTTCTACTTACAATAATATATGTATGTACAAAATGTAAATAAACTTAAATAATTAATTGAATGAGAACAATGAGTATGACGGATACGTAAATAACAATTTTCTAGAACGTAGAAAGTGAAAAACAGTTTAAATATGTATATTGAATACAATGTAACTATAAATAAATAAACTTTAATTAATATTGCGATTTAAAGTTGGACAAAAATCAGCTGTGCGTTCTACTAGGAATGCATATACAAAAGAAGATTGCAAAAATAGTTAGTATATAACTATAGCACATAGTCGGTTGATTGTCTATCTTACCTCGCGCCTCGTTATGTTACCCTTGTTACAAAATGTTGTATCAACCTGTTGCAAATGTTTGGTATGCGGTGCGGTAAGAGCTGAGGAAGCATAGCGGCACAGATAGCGGTTAACCTTAACCTAAATATTACGTAGTTGAATGTCCAACCAGGAGCGCACAGATGTTGAAGAGAGTCGCGTAAATATTGTTGGAGAAGCAACTGTCGGACATGTTGGCGATATCCAACCAGACGTAATGCCCCAAAGGCCATCTTCGGCTATTACTGGCGCCCCGGCATCGGGCTGTGAATAAAAATTTACATTTTCATCTTGGTAAATACAAATATTTGGATAGTACTTGGGTAGTAACTATAAAACATAAAAAAAATGCTGATATGAACCAGAGCGTTGTGTCGCATTAGAGGTTTTTAGGCTTAGTACTTTTTTAGGTATTTTATCGTAAAGTAAGGGTTAAGGTATGCTTAAATGTTTATCATTAACATTATTCGAAAAACGGAAATGTAAGGGGCATGGTAATAATTATTATTATGTGTGTAGTTCGATCAATTAATACATATAATTTAATATTAATGTGAACACAGATAGATTAACTTTTAAATATATATAACTTATAATTATAATTTTAATAACTAACTAAAATCTAAAATAGTTACACCTTAAAAAAATGAATGTTTAGTTAGACGTAAGGCGATAAAAAAAACAATTTCTCATCGCTATCGTGCGTGAGGTAGGGTGCTCAAAAGACTGGCAGCATTGCCACGTTGAATGGCAATGCTAAACCTTTGCCCAAGGTAGTAGCCCGCCTTTCGATCACCTCCTTACAATATATTTATTTGTAAAGAAGATGTGCATTTGGGCCCCACGGCCCTAAAGTTTCAACCTCAAACGGTTCGAAGGCATAATTGCCAATCAGGCTATTATACTTTCGCTGTTTGAGGTTGAAAGATGGGATGGCGCCAGAGTATCAACGCAAGTGGCATCCCATACTAAAGGCCTATCAAATAATTGTATTTCCAATAATTCACTATTAAATAGTCATTTTCAAAATATTAGTGGACTGCTCATAATTAGCTAAATTAATATTGTTACATCAGTTAATTAATAACAACAATACTTTGTTTGTACATTGAAAAAGTATTAAAAACACAATGCGGAAACTTAGTATCAGCCTAACATCTAGACTAGGCGCACAGAACAAATAGGATGCATATAATTTGGGTCGCCACACTTACCATGCACACACTATGATGACTAACTACCGGTTTCAGACACATACTGGATTCGTTGATATATTCTTTCATATCGGTCATAATATTTTTACATATATCTGATGGAATCAACTTTTGAGTTGATACCCGCATGCTGTTATGTTTTATACGTTCCTTTGCTGTTTCTGGTATTGTTTTCCCTTTTACCTAGAACATAGATTTAAATATTATTTCGATCCGTTGATGAGTTACTCTCTCTATAGCAACAGAAAGTCTTATTAAAGACTTACCACGATCCTCGGCCAATATGTTGTCATAAACTTGGCACTTATCACCTTCCCAATAATTTTCGAAATTATAATTGGTCTTAAAATCTCAGAATATTCTACAGGCACTGCCATCCTCAACAGAGCGATGTCAAAATTTGGTTTTCCATAGATATAATATGGATGGATTTCAATTTTTTTTATAGGGACTAATGAACCACCTCTTTTGCAGTCCACGGATCCTAGTCTCGCTCTAAATAATTTTAAGGAATCCCGGACGCTGTAAATATGAAACATGGTACATAAATTAATCAGCATTAGTTACTCATTCCATGAATGACTTACAATAACACCAAAGATGTTTCTCTAACAAGAATAGGAATGACGATCATGACAGAGTATTAAAATTAAAAATCTAATTAGTCCGTCGTCAGTTAGGTAATGAAAAAAATATTAGACATGTATCTTTTTATTTTGTCGTATAAGAAAACAATACTAAAATAAAACGAATCAAAGTTTAGGTAGGAGGTAGTTACGTCATTTTAGAGTATAAATCGTACTCAAAAGTGACGTCATGCGATATTTCAAATCAGTATATTTTCGAACCTATTCGTTTCCGTAAGAAAATAAAAATACGTGTCTAATGTTTTTAAATAATCTACCAGACGGACATTAAAATAAAAATAAGTCATCTACCCTATTATTATTATTATGAGAATGCAACAGTCATGTAACCGAGATATTGCAAAATATTCTGTATGCGTACTACATATTTACATACATACATACATACATAACTTCACGCCTGTCTCCCATGGGGGTACATATTTACAATATGCGTAAATCTTACTACACGATACGCGAACGCGATACTATGTAAAGGAAAAATCATTGGACCTAATTAACCTTAATTTTTTGCCACTGACAGTTGCATTGCTTAAATCCGTCGTGTGTCTAAACGTGGATCCACGCGAGACACAATATATATGTATATATTCTATTGTGTCTCATATCGGTGCATTCAAGCGGTTAATCGAGAAGTAGGCAATCATAAATGCTTGGAACCTATATAAACCACGCGTAAAACTACTTACTGATAAAACTCTGCAGCTACACTCAAAACAAATCGCTTATCAATCAGGGCTCCAGAAACGTAATGCGCCCCTTTTTTCTGAATAGACACAGAGAATGGATAATCGACGAGTGTGCTCTTCTCTCTATCATCTTCCTCTTCCATGCTGCTATTCTGGTATTCGCAAGTTACATTCTCGATGGTGGCCGACTCTGTATCAATAAATTTTGACATTATCAGAATTGGGTACTTTCCTTAATCAAAAATAAAATATTTTGACTGTTCAATACAATAAAATATTAAAAAATAATCACGCTTTCATAAATTTATTTTATGACTAACTTAATTTTAGTATTTTTCTAGCAAATTTTTGAGAAATTAGTGTGCTGTTTGACGGTAAAAACGTGACGTCACAATACACAAAATAATAGAATACTGTCGTTTTTGACAGTTCGAAAAAAGTATTGAATTTGACTAGTTGGCAAGTACTAAATCACAGCCAGCGAATCCGTAAGCTTAAAAATTATTTATTTACCAAATTCTGTAGAATCTTCTTCTAATCCATTATCATCTCTGACGAACTTAATTTCTTCCTGAATTAAATTCATATCACTTCGATCTGACGAGGAGTCCTCCTTAGCGTTTTGAGGCCATGGAAGGAAATTAGCAACAGAATTGTTAATCACTTCATTGTTTATATTGTTATCGCATTCAACACCATCATTTTCTTCAAGACTGCACTCATCACTAAGATCTTTGTTACTTGAACTTCGTGAATTGCAATTAATTATAAAAACTATTAGGAAAATATGCAACGAACACATTAACTGATTCATGGCAATTTGACCACCTAATGTTAATCACCGAGGTGTATCAAATGAACTTAAAACATGTTTTTCAAGTTCAAAATGCAGGTGTTAAATACAATGGTAAAAAATAGAAGAAGAGTTCAATCGACTATTCAATTACACAAATAAAAATGTTCGATGAAAGCAATTAATCTTGTAGATAAGAGTATATTTGTACAACAGTTGTCCATATTTTTTATAACCGTATCTTGTCTGTCAAATATATGTAAGCGTAAAACTCGAGAACGACAGCACCAAATTGGATAAACCTTTTTTGTTCCGTTCGTATGATGAACTTTTTTCTTCTTCTTCTTCTTCATAATATAATATTACGTCTTAAATATTGTTATTTTTTTTATTTTTGATTTCCTCGGTTAAGCAGAAAAGTATATTTTTATAATGATTAGGTAGACGTAGTTAACATTCAATTTTTACCAGACAAATTCAGACAAATAGCATCCGTGTGAAGTTGTGTCAGCAGCAGACAAAAGAATCATTCAACTCTGGACATCAAAAAGTGGCAAAAATTACATAATAGGTAATTATGTAGATTTAAATAGTTGATTTATGTTTGATGAAATAATAATTTTGTAGATTTAAATAGTTGATTTATGTATGATTGATAAAGTAGCTGTCGAATAACATAATTTGTTTCTCGAATAAGAGATAACCAATCACACACGATAAGAAAAAACCAATCAGAATAAACAAAAATCCGTGTCACTGTGTCCATCAAAAAGGTCAGTTACGTAGTGAATCACCAGGCGCACATGTTGTAGAAGATATCATTATAAAAAAACTAAAAGATATTTGTTTAAGGTCGCGTAGCACGCGTAGCACATCGTGTCTTATTGTTACCTAATATTTATGTACAACATTACGGCCTGTTTTTTTTATAAATGGTATTCTTTTTGAAAGATTACACGAAGTTTTCTTAACAATTTCATTAAAGGATATTGCAATGAAGAGCAAAAATTGTCATACTCAAAGCCGCACCTGCCAAGCGTAGGATTGCATGGGACCTTTGTTTCGTCAATAGTAGATGGGTCTTCAGATTGTTAAGAGGTGATGATTGGCATTGCGTCTATTATTAAGTGTTTCAATGTTAAGTAAGTCAAAACATTACCGTACCTTGTGTTTCAGAATTTTCCTAATTTAATAAATTATTTTTCTTTGCAACAGAAAACTTACATTTAAATAGAAGGAGCGAGGAATCAGATTTATTTTGAAAATCTTACATAAAATTCATAGATAATTGACTTAACTCAATTAAGTATTTTTAAATCCTGTTTAAAATAGAAATACGTCATAATACGCTGTGTCCATAGGTCATTAGAAATTATGAACTCCTAGTGAGATGTAAGTAATTTTTCAGCATTTGTTTTACAAAGTTCCGCTATTGTTGCAGGGAAACAATGCGATGTTACTTAATCACAATTATTGTTTGAATAACTAACTGTTCATAAACTGGTGATTAGGTGAAAGTACCCAGAAACGTTAGTTTCTTCTGAACTTTACACTATATTCAACGCCTTTTCAACATTAAAAAAAATGGATAGATAATGTGAATTTTTTCCAACACTACTTATTTAGTACAATTTATTACAAGCAATGGAGTACATTCAGTATTTCACGTATTTTTTAGTTTTAGTTTATCATTTTAACCGTAATGTACTTGTGGAAAGCGGTAAGAAGAAAGTTTATTTATGGACATATGCGACTTTATTCACTTAGTTAGAATTAATTTTGATAAATTTTACTAGTCTAAAAAACTTGTTGGTTCTGTGTAGGAAGGCAAATAAAATCTGATCAGTATTTCAAATAGTTGGATGCTTACTTCGACCTTGAAAGCTAAAGTTAGGCTACTGGGTTCTATGAATGCGAATTATGCAATAAGTACATTTTTTGGAATAGGCGCCAAACCAGCAGGTAGATCACACAACATAGGTACAGAATATTGTTAAAGATGTCCTTACATAAAAAACTCCAAAAACATCTGGACCTGAAAAACTGAAATCTGAAAACCTAGATATTGTAACCATGCAAATTTTACTATCACCAAAGAAAGAATTGTATATGTAGTTCTTGTCGTTTCACACACAACGTTTTTTTACTACTCTACTTTGACAATGAAAGTTCACTTGTACTAGGAGATGAGAAGTTCACAAGAGTTCTTTCTTTTGCTTCAGCCATGACCACAAAGAAGACAGAGTTAGAATGCGAATTCCCGCCTAAAATGGAAGAAGATCTCACTCACGTAAGGAGAAAAAGACTAACGACTGAGACTGGATTAGTTTGTCTAGAAGACTATCCCTATACGGTATCTGTAAGGTAAGAAATACTATAATTTTCCAAATATTCATTTCCTACTCAATTGAAGCCCTGTGGTTAATACAAAGTGAGTATTATAAGACCCGACGAATGGATAGCAGCAGACCCCAGAAATATTAAAAAAAAAACATTATATTTATGAATCAGACCGGTCGGCCGGTCACTGCTAAACCTAAATGTAGCCTCTAACCGGCCTGCAAGGTTGACTACAATTATGGCAAACCCGCTTATTAATATCGTTTATTTACTCTAATAGAGGAGGCCCATAATTCATGAGAGATGGTGATGTGGATGGAAAATTTATAACAAGATTATTGTAATTTATTTTGATAATTTTTCCAGGCTACATGGAAAACACTGGTGCGGTGGAGCGATTGTTGGAAAAGTGTGGATACTCACTGCAGCACAGTGTTTCGACTAGTAAGTCTTTATCATCGTCCTTGAATAATCTATTGATAAAACAGTCGGGTAAATAACATGTAAAAAGTAGGGTATAATGCTAAAATGAAGTCGAAAAGAACATTCCCAAAGTTTATTCATTAAATTAATTTAGAAATCGAAAGGAATAATAATACTTGTTTTAGGGTAACATAAATGATGAAGAGGTTGTTTGTTGACGAAGTAGGTACTGTTTATGTTTCCTATGAGTAATTTGTGGATAGCAGAATAACGACTTTTTGACTGAAAATAACATATGACATAGTATGTTACATTTAAATAGGCTAAAATGCAGTGTTTTTCCTCAACAGCGTCACAAAAGAAGAAGTATCAGTTCGGATGGGATCCGTATTCAGAGATTTTGGCGGAAGAATATTGTCAGTTGTTGAGATCAAGAGACACCCTGACTACAGGATGGATCAGTACTATCCTGAACATAACTTAGCCATGGTCAAGGTAAAATATAACATAACTGTAATCAGAACGTCACGTCTTCTAATAAAATCGACAATTGGGAAGGCAAGGCAAGGCATGTCCCATGTAACAGGGGCAAACCCATCTATCGCCGTTTTGCCTGACACCATCGCTCTGTGCGATCACCGGGACAATAGGAAATGAAGGATCCAAAAAAATAATCAAAACCGCATAGATGATAATGATCATTTTTAAAGGTTTCATTATATATTTGAGGAACTTATACTTATGAGTAAACATAATTTTAAAAAATTAAATCAGCAACTTTAATTATTTAGATCAAACAGCGTTTGAGTGATATTTCAAGCCTAGGTCGAGTTTGGGCTCGCTGCCATTGCAGCGGTAAGTCCCCTCTTTGAGGAGTGGCTTGAGAGACGCTACGGCGTCCTCACCTACCGCTTGACGCAGGTCCTCACCGGAGATGGAAGTTTCGGGAGGTACCTGTGTCTGATGGGGCGGGAGGAAACGCCCGGGTGTCATCACTGCGAGGACCGCCCTGAGGACACGGTGGAACACACAGTGGGAGAATGCCCTGCATGGGCTGAGCACCGCCGTGCCTTCAGGGAAGTGATCGGCGATGGCGACCCGTCGCGTCCGGGCCTAGTGCAGGCCATGATGCGGAGCGAGGGGGACTGGGATGCCGTCTCCTCCTTTTACGAAGCAGTCATGCTAGCTAAGGAGGAGGCGGGACGCGTGGGGCAGCGAAGCGCTGCCTCCTCGCAACCCAGCCATCGCGAAGGACACACCACAGATGATCTCCGGCCACCGTAAGCGCGGGCCTGCGGACGGCGAGCATGGGTGGCTCCCCGTCCGACCAGAAACAGACCCGAGAGTACGGCGCGTCGCGTTCCGCGCGCGCCACAAAGAGCCATCAGACCTCCACAGATGGGGCCCAATAGGGCCGATGCCGATTCGGAGTCGCGGAGAACCTAACGGGTAACCGGGGCTCCGGCTCGACGTGCAGGAGAAGGAACGGGGTGGTTTTTAGTCAGTAAGAGTCTGACACTCCCTCCCGCCTCACCCAGGCGGGAGCAGTCATTTGATAATTTCCCCCCTTGAAAAAAAAAAAGCCTAGGTCGAGTTGATACGGAAATAAATTATCAAGATTAGTCTTCACTAACTATTAGGTAGTTACCAATCTAAGTATGAATCGACTATTACCTTCAACTTACCCATGGGTTCCTGGTATTACAGGTGAATCTGCCGATAACTGAAAACAGCAGAATGCAGGTCGTATCATTAGCAGTCCCTGATGCTGATCTACCACCGCTGTTCGGAGAAACTGTCGTTACTGGATATGGTTCTGTGGTAATATCAAGCTTTTTATGAACATGAAATAGAAAATATCTAGAATTATGGTTCTTTTAATTCGTGCTAGCCTAGGTTTACATTTCTATTATTTCTCTATTAGCTATTGCTTTTTACATTACCTATAACAATGAAACTGCAGGGATCAATAAATATTGAAGAAAAAAAATTCACTTCAATGTAGGTAAATAGGTAATGGGAGCATCAATCTGGTATTTACTTCCGTGGGTACCAGGTTCCCATGATTGAAAAGTGTTAGATCGCGGCTCTCTGGCACACCGCCAAGGCCATGCCTATAGTGTTGCAAAAGCCGTGATTATCTACGAAAAACCGTTATCTATCTATTCATCTATCTATCTTTGTCGTACCTACCACACGTTGCATTCAAATGGATGAGATAGAAAGTGACCTGGAAAAATGTAGTTTCAATTTCTAATAGTGCGATGAACTTTTACGATGTAATTTATGCGCACGTGTAAAGATCAAGTATTACGTTACTTCTAATCTACGAGTACTAGGATATTAGAGACACATAGAAGTTAAGGCACAAAAATTAATTATCTACATTTAATTACAGGTGACTGGACAAATTCGAGAAGGAGAGAATCAAGAATTGCGACGAATGATTGTACGAGAAATATCCCGAAGCGAATGTCGTTTGATTTATGGGAATGATTATCATTTACAACATGACAATATGTGCTTAGAGAGCGTTATAAAGGGCGTTGCGTTATGTGCCGTTAGTATTAAATTCATTAATTACCCACTTTACACAAAATCTTCAGTGTTCTATTTGTCGCAGAAGTTTTCTTTTTGATCGAATTTTTAATCTCTTGGAATATGCTCTTTGTACATGTTTTAGAACTACCTACTTACATTGTTACTTGTTTGCTACTTCTAACTTTACAAAAATGATCACCAAAATATTCAAGACCTTGACGAAAGGCAATTGTAACAGTTCTCTCAATGTTTTGGTACCAGGGTGACACAGGTGATCCGGCGGTTCATTTTAGTGGACTGAATCGCGCAGGCACACTTTACGGCATAGCACTATTTTCCGGCACTGAAGAGTGCGCCTACAAATCGAAACCAGGAGTTTTTGCTAAGGTAATTTATTGGTGATTTTAAATTAATCTAGACAAAAATTCAGTATGACTCGTGATTAATGGAATTACATGAAGACAAGATTAAAAATTGTATACTGTTATAACCCTGCCGTCTTCCACTTTCCAGTCAATCTTTAAGGTTTTATATATTCTGTTACCAATATAATTAAAGTATAAATATTTAAGCCAAGGTAACTTCAAAGTAATGTTCATAATTTAATTTACTTTTAGGTATTTTGATGGCAGATTTTTCAAAATAAATCTGGTACCTACCCACAAGAAGAAGGAATTCTAAGATAAATGGGGGGGGGGGGCGTATTTATTTACTTCAATTATTGAGCTCTTATATACCTAGTAGTCTCAGGTATATATTTGTACTAGGAGTTCATAATAAAGCAGAAGTAAGTAATTGATTCGTTTTTTTTTCTAGGTTGCATACAGTCGATTATGGATTGACAAAGTGCTTGGAGACATACCTGATCATCCGGAAAGTGCTGACAGTACAGAAAATCTTATCCCAGTCGATATAAAATAAAATTATTTGATACCTTAATAATTATAGTACAGTATTATGTATAATTTATTTTTTAGAATAAAACTAAGGTACAATCGTAAAATTATTTATTTTGGCTTTTAATTTGTCATTTTTGTATTTTGTCAAACCTAATTCAATAATTAAAAACTCTACGATTGCTTCCCCGATAAAACAAGTTTGAGTAGACGTTTATAGTTTGTTATAATTCGTTTAATATTTTATCCAAACAAATCACAGCTGGAGCCTAGACAAATTAAATAGCAATAAATTGTATTCTCTCATTAATTAGCCACATTTAATGTGCAGGATTATTATGAGATGAAACAGGAAGGAAAAGAACATTTATGACGTCACGACACACACTTAGATCACATTGTGATGTGATTGATCTAATTACAAAATAACAAAACGTATGTATTTACATTGCTGTATATGGGTGCGAAAAGTGTGTGTACCAATGTACACTGTACAATTACAGTGGCATTAAGTGCCGTTAAGTGCACCTCTGCCTACCCCTTAGGGGGTTGAAGGCTGGAAAAATAAACAAAAAAAACGGAAGATTAGTAAATAATCAATCTGTACTTTGTACTAAAGTAGGCGGGCTGGTCTGTGCAAGTCCTTAGTCGAACATTATTATTTTTCCTAAAGAAAACACATTACATACAAATAAAATACAATGTTCCATAAACTTTAGTTATTTTTCATTATTTCGATAATGTCTATTTTTTGTTTTCATTCACCATCGTATCCTTTGATTGGATTATTTTGTATAACAATAAATTGAATGCGGCGTAAAATGGAACGCAGTCTACCTCTACATGTCTACATGAGACTCTTATAATGTCAGAATCGCAATCATAATGTCAAACTGTCAAAAATTTAAAATGCAAATTGTCAAACAATTTATAGAGGTTATGTTTGGATAAGGTAATAATTTCAATTTTACATTATTGTAAGCTATTTTGCAAGATAATCCGTAAAGTTAACTGTATTACAAATTAAATATACCACTAAGTTTTTTCACAAAATGCGTTCACGTAAGTGTTTATTGTGACATTCGGTCTATTTTGGGATTGCAATTATTTAGGCCGGATTGTGTCCAAAGGTTAAGGTTTTGGATGTGATTTAACAGTTTAAGCGGCTAACGCTGACCCTCCATCGGCTCGTGACGCTCTGACATGGATGAATTGAAGCACAGAGCTGGTGAAAAACTCGAAGCATTACAAGTAAGTAGCTCTTGATATCTTATGCCATCCTGGTAGTTTCGCGCGAAAGTGCGTCGGTTATTCACGTCACTTTTTTTAGTAAATGTTCTAGCCTATCGAGTTTCTTTCTCAAACTACGATTTCTTTATTTTGTTTGTTTTTGTTATGACAATGAAATGTCATTGCCCTAGTTTCAAGCTAATGACCATGGACTTATATAATTCATTTATTTTAGTTGTTTAGCATATGTTACTCACACTACTGTTTCATGTTATAAAATAGTAAATATTGATGATTCTAGGTTGCTACATCTAGTTTTCCTTGAACTCCTATCCTTAAAAATTAATCTGTATTTCATATACGATTATAATTATAACTAGCGACCCGCCTCGGCTTCGCACGGGTGCAATATGCATGTATTATATATAATTATAAACCTTAAGAATCACTCTATCTATTAAAAAAACCGCATCAAAATGTGTTGCCTAGTTTTAAAGATCTAAGCATACATAGAGACAGACAAATGGCGGATAACAACTTTGTTTTATATTACGTAGTACATAACTATAGTTAAACATTTGTAGGTCCCATGTAAAGGAAATTATTTCAATAGTTACACTTTTCACATTTAATGTAATGAAGCTGTAGCCAGTATTTGGATATTAAAATTAAATGTTTTAAGTAAATACTGTTAATTTGTAATGGAATTGAATTACAATACTGAATGAAATATTGAAATATAATTACATATATAATTACACAAAAAACTAAAAATGTATGAATAAAAATATTTAAAAAACATACCCTTAATAAATTATAGGAGTCAAAGGGTAATTAATAATTTTTACATGTTCATATTATAACACGTTTTACATGTTCTTGTACCTATATTTCCAAAGTACACACATTTACATTATTAAAAATAGAAGTAGGTAACTATTTATGAAGTACGTAAACATGTTATCAATTTTATTTTAGTGTATGTTTAAAGAACATTGCATATTGAATGACTGTCCTCGAAACAATATAACATTAATATTATTCATTTTTTTGCACACTAACTAAGCTTCCATTTTGTTTCTAAGTAGTTATAGTGGAAAATTCGGTAGATTAAAATAGGTATACCTACTTAAAATCCTTACTAATATTATAAATCGGAAAGTGAGTTTGTTTGTTTGTTCCGACTTCACGCCGTAACTACTAAACCGATTGCATTGAATTTTTGCAGACGTAAAGTTAGTAGTCAGGATTAAATAATAGGGTACTTTTTATCCCAAAAAAATTTGATATTGGTATAGATGGCGCTGTATGTAGTGGTATATGTCACATAGGCTACTTTTTATCCTTTTGTGACGCGAGCGGAGCCGCGGGTAAAAGCTAGTAAATTTTATAAAACAAACTCTTTTCTTATTGGTAAAAAGTAATGTTGGACCCTAAAACTCTTAACATTTTTGAAACAAGATTATTCTGATAAGATAAAACAAATCTTCATAAACATTCTGACAAAATCTTAAATTGCAATTGCGTACCTTATTTTTTAGCTTTTTTTATACTATGTTCCTAAATAAATGTAACCTAACTAGTTCAAAACCGTGTTGTTATATAGAAATGAAGTTACGTGATGTAATAATAATATACAATTCATAAAATAATTTGACCCATATTTCATCAGGTAGCGGCAAAAACTGCAGCTGATAATGGTAAATCGCGCGTACAAGATGTTGTGCAAACCACGGTGGATGCTATACAGAAGGTATGTCGACCTAGTACCGCAGTTATCTATATTCTATAAGATAAGGAGATAGGATGAACTGCGGTGTATGTGTGCTATGATTTATTGGTGTGTTATATCAGTGCTCAATGGAGGTATGTACAATATTTTGGAATTTTGATAATAATATTATAGTATGAGTTCAAAAATTATGATAAATTATACTATTATGCTATGGTGCAGTTCCATGGTGTCTACAGGGAGTTAACTATTACCAGTTTGTATCCCATTTAATTGAAAGTGCAATGTAGACTTATGTTGGAATACTGAAACGCTACTCAATTTTAAGTCGTGCTTAAGTATAGTTCTATCTCTACGAAATCTTTGTAAAATGACAGAGATGGCACGATATTTGAGCATGACTTAAAATTGAGTAACATTTCAGTATTCCGGCATTAGCTTTACATACTTTATATTTTTAACAATCAAAAGTCATCTATGTATATGTAGGGATATACAAATAATAATTTGCACTTGTAATCAAATGTGTTTTCTAAATATGTTAGATTCGTGAAGCATTTCACGACATTTGGCACAACGAGCTGATCGCGGAGGGTCGCGAGCGCGCGGCCGCCTGGACCCGGGAGGCAGTGCGCCGCATCCGTGAGGGTGCTCCACCACTCTCGCCCGTACTACTCTATGAAGAGCTAGTGGCTTTGTGGCACGATAGAGGTTGGTATGATGAATGTGCATTTTAGTATGTTTATATAAATCATAAGTGTAGACGCAGGCCTTTGCTCAGTAGAGATTCAGTTTATTTAACCAGAAATCTACCGGTATGAGATATAATAGAAAAGACATTGTGTCTCGCATATATCTACTTTCCAACATACCAAGGGTTAAAGGAGACATTGAAATCGCGGCCTCACAGAAAACTGGCATTAAACAACGTGGGTAGGGTTATTGGAGGTTTACTCTTAAACTGTCAAACACCAAGCGGTCACCGGTGACCGCGACCTATTGTTCTTTAATTGTGTCTGTAAAACCGGTACTCGACGAGTTAATCACTAATCTACAGTCCCCAATAGGTCGCCAACACATTTGTAACTCTTCTGGTGTTGCGGGTGTCCATAGGCCGCGCCGATTGCTTGCCATTAGGCGATCCGCAGTCTTGTTTATTGCCTTATGCTATAAAAATACTTTCCTGATCAGAGGCGTAAATACGAGTTTGTTTTACGTTTAAAGTAATCGAAACAAAACCTCGTCCGGCGCTCTGATTGGTTCGTTCATTGGCGCCGGCCAATCAGAGCGCCGAGTGCGTACTCGTTTCGATCACTTTAAACGTAATGGAAACTCGTACTAAGCCTTCAGAGCTTGCCTTGCATATTTATTTTTTGGTCCACGTTGCATAATTATAATTATAGCAGGCAATATAGAATAATGTATAAATAATGTTCGTTATTTCCAGTATGGCGTCGCAGTATGCTAATATTCGCGTGCGGCGTGGTGGCGGGCGGCAGCGCGGGCGTGTTGCTGGGGCTGAAGATATCGCGGAGACAACATGGCGGCCCGCATGCGCGCGCGCTGCACTCACAAGCCGACCAGTCCGTCATACTTGTTGAAGATGCTGTCGCTCCTGGTAAATTAGCTTTTTATTTTTCTTTCTTGGAGCCACTGCAACACATTTGAGTCATCTTTATATATATAATTCTTCTGTGAGTGTGTATGTCACTGAACTTCTCTCAAACGACTGAACCGATTTTGATGAAATTTTTTGTGTGTGTTCAAGGGGATCTGGTTTAGATTCACAAATCAGCCCGGCAGATGGCGCTGCAGTCGATGTTTAGGTTATTTATCTTAAACAGTTAAACTAATTTGAATGAATCTTTGTTTATACATTCAAGTGTATATGCAGGACAACGTCTGTTGGGTTCACTAGTGTTCTATAGTAACAACTGATTAAAAATGACCAAAGATAAGTAGCTATGTTGTCCCTACGTTTTTTATTATTGTGTAGTAAGTAGCTCAGAAACAATGATAGTCCGTACATCAATGTCAGTACTTAGACATCATCATAGAAAAATATGGCAGCGAAAGTATTTTTTTTTTAATTAGTTTACTTTTTTATATATTCTAGGTGCGGGAACCGGCGAGGTGTTAGTACGGGTGCAAGCATTCAGTATATGTACGGTGGACCGAGGGGCATTGCGTGGCCGCGCTCACCTACTGCGCTCGCTACTGTACCGGGGATACGTCACTGTCGGGAGAGGATTCGCAGGTAAGGCTCCTGGATTGTTATGCGCGCCTGGTACCTGAAGTCAGTATATTGAACCTAATTTGATGCGTTTTGATTTGTTTAATTTAATTTTAATTTGTTAAATAAATATGTATAAAGAAGAATCCAAATTGCGCCCATCGGGGGTATAACTGTAATACCCAAACAGCCTGGCAAGCGCGGGGATTGTCACAAACATACTCTCAGGAGGATGGCTTGTTCACTAGACATTCAGATGATGATAAAAAGAAATTTGTACATAACATCATACATAAATCACGCCTTTTATCTTCGAACGGGTAGGCAGAGGTGCACTATAGCGCACTTAATGCCACTGTACAATGTAACACCCACTTTTCGCTATTTATGTTATGAGTCCCATGTAATAGGGGGTGAGCCTATATACCGGGTGCTACAGACTCCGTTTTTTTTTAAATATCAGTACCACGGCCCGACATAGGATTCGAACCCGAGACCCCTTGCCGAGGCAGTCTAATAATTCCTCATCATCAAGTCTATTTGTTGTATGATGTCTTTGAATGTGAATTAAAAAAAAAATGTTTTCCAGGTGTGGTGCTGGACGTAGGTCAAGGCGTGACGGACTTGGAAATGGGTGACGAAGTATGGGGATGCGTATCGGAATGGTGCGGCGGCGCGGCCACCGAGCTGTTGACTATTCGCAGGTTATTAGTTTATTTAATGATTTTCTAATATTCCTACCTTGAAAAATACATATTCAATACATATTTTTTCCTACTTTATTTATTATATTTATAAGTGTGAAAGAGCCATGCTTCGGCACAAATGGGCCGGCTCGACTGGAGTGATACCACGGCCTCACAAAAAACCGACGTGAAACAACGCTTGCGTTATGTTTCGTCGTGTGAGGTTACTGGAGGCCCAATTACCCCCCTCCCTAGTCCCCGTCTCCCGAATCCCCGAATCCTCCACAATCCTCAAAATACCAATTCCCAAAAGGCCGGTAACGCACTTGTAACGCCTTGGTGTTTCGAATGTCTATGGGCGGCGCCGATAGCTTACCATCAGGTGATCCGTGTGCTCGTTTACCGGCTTATGCTATAAAAAAAAATATTTTACACACCCAACGGATGAAAATATATAATGACTACTGTCTACTAACTGTAAAAACAATATTACATATTTTCATCTATGACCATCCCGATTAGAAAGATTCAATTTCGCATAGATACCTGTACCTATATTAACAAAGCTCTTATAAATATTTGTTCTCCTAGTACCCGAGTGAGCAAGCGCCCCCGCGGTCTCGCAGCCGATACAGCGGCGTCTTTGCCCTGGGCCGGGGGCGAAGCCTTAATGGCGCTCCGGAACATCGCATACACACCTGAGAACTCCAAAGGAAAACGGTACGTACACCCTCCTTACTTGATCGAACTTTAACCCGTCGAGCGCCCGCGTTCCTTATGCATTTCCATATCCTTATCCTTATGCATGCAAGAAAATGCATTTATTTGGCCAAATAAAACAAATACAGTCAAAATAAAAATAAAACATTAATAATAAATTTTATAAAGAGAAAGCAGCATGGAGCATTTTTTCTTATGATCCACCGCGTGCTCATAAGGACGCTCGAGGGGTTAAAGGTACTCTTTTGGAAATTGTTTCCGTGTTTCTGACGAAATGCCGATCTCGTGCAGCAAATATTCTTAATACTAACATTGTAGAAGTGCTTGTAAGAAGTTGTAGCTTATTTACTGAATATGTAGAAACAAATATTAACTGTTTGTTGTTGTAACATTGCAGGGTAGCAATATGTGGCGCGGCCAGTGGTGAAGGTTGTGCCTTAGTCCAGCTATTGAGTACGTGGGGAGTTCACGTCACCGTCGTAGCGCCTCGACACGCCGCGCTCACACTCAAGGACCTAGGTAATAACACCTCTTTATTATTGCTACTTGCCTGGTACTTTCATTTTGATTTGTTGCATAACGAAAGTATGAAAAGAAAAGGGAAATGGAAACTGCAGAAAAAAATTTTCACTGATTATCATCATCAAAGGCCCTGTCAGTCTACTACTTGTCTCCTCTAATCTAAAGAAGGGTTTATCATGATCTCCTGGTTGGCAAGCAAGTTTATAGAGATCGCTGCTTTTCTGTATCTACTCTGTATGTAGTAGCCTCCTACGACAAACGTGGAAAAATGGGTTAGTTTCCTAAATTTTATTTTAATGTCCATCTGGGTAGATTAATTTAAAACATTTGACACGTATTTTTTCTCTTCTCACAAAATTAAATACTTTCGACGATATAGGTACAAATTTAAAATATCGTGCGACGTCACATTGTACTACATTTTGTAGCACGTTGTGACTAAATAACCTCTCATAATGCCATTTTATTTGAGTACCTAAGTAACGTTATACAAGAAAATAAAAAACTACATACCTACCTATCTAATATTTTTCATTTTCTAACTGACTGACTAACTGAATAATTAGATTTTTTAATCTTACCCTGGCAACTACCCTATTATTATTACAGAAAAAATAACAATATTATGTTAATGTTTCCAGGTGCATCGGACTTCGTGGATATAGAAGGTAACAGGGAATCAGGAGCATGGTCGAGCCTAGAGGCGCGCGCCCGCCGTACAGGCCCGTGGGACGCAGTGCTCGCCTGCGCCGCCGCAGAGGTGCCGCCCATAGCACTCGCCAACAAACCTGCGTTACTCAAGTATGAACTGATTTTAACTTTATTATGTCTAGCATAAGGGTCAGTTTAGCACAAAATTCATAAAATCGTCACCATGATCACCGTGAGAGTTTACTACTAGGATGGATCTCCTAGGCAAGAGAGCGGTTTGCCATAATCTACACAGTGGGCAAGATAGTTGGAAAATGCATTTAAAAAAATGAGGTTCAAATAAAACGGCCGATGAGCCGACTTTCTGTTACTAAATTATGTAGTTCGTTAGTCGACTACACCCGCGGCAAGAGTAGGTGTGGTCACAAATGTATTCTATTACACCAATACTACACGCCTTTTTTATAAGAGGAAAATTATCGAATGACTTCTCCCGCCTGGGTGAGGCGAGAGGGAATGTCAGACTCTTTCTTTTTTTTATGGAATAAGCCGGTAAACGAGCAGACGGATCACTTGTTGATAAGCAATCACCGTTGCCAATGGACACCTGGAACACCTAGGCGCTACAAGTGCGTTACCGGTTTTTTGGAATTTGAGGATTGTGGAGGGTTCAGGGATTCGGGAGATTTCGGGAGGGGGGATAATTGGGTCTCCGGTTACGGTCACTCACACGACGAAACACAATGCAAGCATTTTCTTACGTCGGTTTTTTGTCTCGAACTTACTGACTAAAAACCACCCCGTTCCTACTCCTGCACTTCGAGCGTGCCAGAGCCCCGGTAACCTTTTACGTTCTCCGCGGCTCTGTATTGGCATCAGCCCAATTAGGTCCAATATATCCTATATATTGATATTAAAAAAGTATTCGTTATTGTATTTTCAACCATTTCTAGTATCTAACCAATATTTTGATACCAGGGCAAAAGCATCGCGCACAGCTTTCGTCGACCTGAGACCGGGGCCGCTGATCACCGACCGACTGCCAACGCCTTTCGCTATAATATTCGCTACTTCATTCTACACTTATAGAGTCTTAAGGGTGAGTTAAGCACAAATGTTTTATTTTTTATTAACCGCTTTAACCCGCGGCTTTGTCCGCGTATTCCTGTCAGCCCATACCAGATTTCATCAAAATCCGTTCATTCATTACAGCGTGATTGACGGACGAACATCCAAAAAATACTTTCACATTTATAATATTAGTGTGATTATATTTTTATAATATCCAGCAAAGCTCGACTTGCTGTAATGCAGTGTGTATTGACACCAACGCTTATGTATGGTAGTGAATCATGGGTGTGGCAGAAGAAGCATGAAAGCAGGATTATTGCGGTGGAAATGAGAGCCCTGAGAAGTATGTGTGGACTAAAATTGAGTGATCGAGTGAAAAATAGTGTTATCAGAGAGAGGTGTGGATTGAAAGATGATGTAGTGACAAGGATTGAAAAGGGAATATTACGCTGGTTTGGACATGTAGAAAGGATGGATGAAAGTAGAGTAACGAAAGAAGTATAGTATACAGAGCGGATATGAACGGGGCCGTCGGTAGAGGGCGCCCTAGACGGACATATAGTGACCAGATTGGCGATATATTAAAGAAGGGCCAAATTAAAAGTACCCTTAACCGACGAGCATGCATGAAAAGATTGATGACTGTTAATGAAGCGAAAGAGGTATGTAAGAATCGTAGTTGGCGTTCCTTAGTCTCTGCCTACCCCCATGGGAGACAGGCGTGAAGTTATGTATGTATGTATGTTTACTCGTTTATTTTTTTACAGTGGCTGGTAGGCTGTGGTTCCAATACAGATTGGCTAGAAGATCGATTTAGATTAAGAGAGGGCTTAGAAACTCTCGCCAAGCTAGTAGAACGCGGTACCATGGCGCCCATACTTGATAAGGTAAGATAAAATAGCCAAGCTATTTTGTTAAGGGCTGATTTTTCCAATCCTAGGTAAGGAATCGGAGGAGTAATATTGAAAAATTGACAATTCTTCCATGACATTAATAACTATCAATTGTCAATTTTATTTTAATAACATAACATCACGCCTTTTATACCCTAAGGGGTAAGCAGAGGTGAACATTGTTATGTTGGTGGATTGATAATAAATAGTCTGATTTATTTTACTTGGAATCATTAGAACAATGTGCAGAGCACACGATGTTTACACACACCAGAGTATGACAGATAGACAGCGGCGTTATTGACAAGTGTCCTACCTTATATAATATAGTGAAGGGCCATTACTTTCTAAGTAAATAGTGATGTTAATGCATACATGTAACAAACATTGCGGCACTTAATGCCACTGTACAATGTAACACCCACTTTTCACTATATATGTTATGAGTCCCATGTAATAGGGGGTGAGCCAGGCACAATTTTAGACTAAGTAGTACTTTGGACGACCCGGAAATCGAACCCGAGACCCCTTTGCCCGGCAGTCGCACTTGCGACCACTCGGCCAACGAGGAAGTCGACAGGCTGTTTTATTCTACAGATAAGAATTATCTGTTGATTGAGTAAAACTAAGAATATAAAAGCAATAAATAACACCAGGCGAATATGAATGTTAAAGAGTTCTTACTTATTTTACAGGTATACCTACCACAAGAGTTCGAGAGCGCACTCGCGCACGCGTGCAGTGACGACGCGATCGGTACCACAGTAATACGTTTCCCTTAGCAAATTACATACATCTGTTCCTTTATGTGAGCCTGGTACATTCAGGCCAGCTTTAGTTCTAAGTAACCATCACTGCCAATGGAGGATCATAAAATTAAATAGGAATTTACCTTATTTTTACAAAAATAATTGCATCTTATCCAAATATACATAACGAAAATGTGAAAAAAATAGTAAAATAATAATAAAATTAGACCGACGTTGTGTTGAAGATATAAATGATATTAATAAATTGATTTGACTGAATAGGCAATTTAGTGATTTAGCGCAAATTCGAACGAATTATATTTATTTTTATATTGCGAAACATACCTTCGTAAAAATCGACTATTTAGTAAGAGTTCAACTACATTTATCATATTTGTTACCAGGACCACATAATACACGCAGCGATGTATTAAAAATGGAACTCAATAAAATGTTCCTGTGGAATGTTGTTCCTAAACTTAATTTTAAAAATACTTTATGAAATAAGTTCATCAATTAGTTACTTAATTCGATTGTAGGAACACTGCGAAATCAAATAGGTAGTGTTATCATGGCCATATCACACTGAATTCGTGCAATTATATTTGGTCGAATATTAAGTAGCCTCGATAATAAAATCAAATCGCAAGTATGCAAACGTACTATCAAAGATATTAACGTATTTGTTTTATTTTTGAATATTTTTGGTTATAAACTACTTTTTTGTTGTTTATTTTAGAGAATTATATCCATTGTTATTATAAGTTTTACTCTTAACGTTACCTAAAGTATCTATATAAAATCAGTGTGGATGTCTTTATGTGGCTCCTGATTACGTCACAACATCGCAAGACTGTACAATTAATGTAAACAGATCTGTAAATAATGTAAATAAAGTTACTAAAATAAATAGGTGCTCAAACAAAAGTGTATATAAAAATATTCAATAATTTTCTGAAATTAAAATTTTACTGATTGTACGCCATATTTAATGTTCCGGCCACACTGAATGCGATACGTTGCAGCAACGCTTGATACAGTAATTCGTATATTAATTTCATGTTCTCATTGACGTAGCAACGGTTGCTGTGACGTGTAGCTGCAACAAACTTATGAACTTTCCAAATCTGAGCTTTTAATATACTCTGGTTTTGATGCGAACACGTTTTGTGTCTTGTATTTACTTTTAACGCAATATGTATTACTTGAATATTATTGTATAAGTGCCATTGTCAAGCTAGCTAAGTAATGTCCATGTTGATACAGCAAGAACGATTTACGTAATTATATTACATTTTTATCAAAATGACAATAATTTAATTTGAAGTCAAATCATGCCTATTTATTTTAATTCAATTATTTCATAAAATTGTAAATATTAGATAAAATATGAATGCATATGAACAGTATGCGCGACGGTCGCCGCTAGAATTAGGGCCGATTTTTCATCGACAGATAATTCTTAGAATAATTAATATTATATTCTTCAACTGTAGAATAAAATTGACATTTAACAGTTTATAGGATCGAAGAATTATCATCTCAAAGGTTATTCCTCTGATAAGATTTAACTGGCGTTGGAAAAATCGGCCTAAAGACGTATTATGTAATTAACACAAGTATCTCCAAGAAAATAAAATAGAACGCCAAAAGATAGATACGATTCTAGCATACCTCTTTCGCTTCATCTACATTTTTTTATGGTATAAGCTGGTAAACGAGCAGACAGATTACCTGATAATAAGCATTCGGCGTCGCACATGGACACCTGGAACACCAGGGGCGTTAAGAGTGTGTTACCGACTTTTTGGGGATTTAGGAATTGGGTACTTGCCAACTAGTCAAATTTAATACTTTTTTTGAACTGTCAAAAACGACAACTTTCTATGTATTTTGTACAAGATTGTGTACTGTGACGTCACGTTTTTTTAGCGACAAACAGCATACTTATTTCTTAAAAAAATGCTAGAAAAATATTAAAATTAAGTTAGTCATAAAATCAATTAATGAAAGTGTAATTATTTTTTAATATTTCATTGTATTGACAATAATAGTCGAAATAATTTATCTTTGATTAGCGAAAGTATCCAATTGAGAATTGTTGGGGATACAGGGATTGGGAAGACCGGGGGTGGGGGAGCTAATTGGGCCTTCGATAACCTCACACAACGCAAGCGTTGTTTCACACGTCAGTTTACTACTCGACCGTGGTATCAGTCCGGTCGAGCCGGCCCATTCGTGCTGAAGCATAGCTCTCCCATTATTCTAATCATGAATACTGGATTGAGGGTGCTTTGTATTACCTTTCACTATTCAAAAAGTTGTAATTTTGATTGTATCGACGTAGACATTGCTTAGTTTTAACCATGTACCTAATAATAAGACAAGGATTGTCACCAGTATCTGATCTGTACCGACCTCAATAACTCGTCCAAAGTAGATAGGGTAAATTAACTGAAATGTAATGTAGATAGATAAAAGTTATTTTAAAATATAAACTGTTGTTTAAATATTGTCGGGGTTTTATTTTTTCATCTGATGGAATGTGTGGCCTTCTACATACAAGAGTTTGTCATGATATCCACATTCTACGCTTGGCATTCAGTACCCTACAGCCTAGGGATGGCGATACTTTACACATTGATTTTAATCGAACCAACAAAACAATGTACCTAACCAAGATTATTGTATTGTGAAACTGATTGAAAAAGAGTAACCTATGGAGTTTCTTGCTCGTTCTTCTCCATAGGAATCTACGCCTTGGAACGAGCAAATAGCTTCACTAGAGGACTGACCTACAGACTGACATTTTTTTTATATTTCAATATTTGACTGCCTCGTTGGCAGCGTGGTCGCCAGTGCGACTGCCGGGCAACAGGTCTCGGGTTCGATTCCCAGGTCGGGCAAAATATTACAGGGTTTAAAAAAAATCTCGCACGGAGTTTGGAATTGTGTCCGGTATATAGGCTCACCCCCTATTACATGGGACTCATAACATAAATAGTGAAAAGTGGGGGTTACATTGTACAGTGGCATTAAGTGCCGTAATGTGCACCTCTGCCTATCCCTTCGGGGGTACAAGGCGTGATGTTGTCTTTGAATCAAAATAAAACACAAATATAATTGGAACCACATATATTTCGTACACAACCGAGTACTGACCGAATGAATACATTTAGTAAATAACATTAAGTACATAGAACGATACAACATATCCTTTCACCTGCCGTACACCACGCACCTTCACCAGACGCAATATTCATGTTTTTATCAAAATTTCACTAACATATACAACAAACAATATCAACTTGAAGGATCATTGCATTCCTAAGGATCTGAGACGAGGGATTTCAGTCGTCGAGGACAATAATCAGTTCAGGGATTGTGAAAAGAGCTGCTGAGAACTTGATTCAACTGTACCGCAGAGTACTTTTCGCCAAATAGATCTTTTATAAACTATATACTTCATGCTGTTTCACACACTGCTTGACTCTATTGATCTTAGTATTTTTATAGCATATGTTGCCGGCGACTTCGTTCGCATGGAATTGTGTTTTACAGCTCTTCTTTCGTATGTTGAATGATCCCTCGAATGTTTTTTCTTTCTTTCTTTAAAACATCACGCTAAGATCAATAGGAGCCGAACAGCGTGGAAAAAAACGGGTAAGTACCTACAAATATAGCTCTATACAATATGTGTAAGCGTACTCAGTGATGCAGTTGAGTCAAGACAGTTGGACCAAAAGTCCCTCGCCTGTATAGACGTCTAACTCCTTAATTTTTTAGTGTCAGTATCAGGTATATAAAACATCGGAAGTAAGTTGCTGTCTAGTAGAAACTAGACAAGAAGATGAAGAAGTTCTATAAACTATTGCATTACATGAGCAAATCATTACATGTTATAACATACAGGTACTTTAAGTTAATATTGAAATGGACATTAAAAGCAACAAATCATTTTCTCATGATCTGCAATAAATACATTGTTAAAGGCAGTGTTACTCGAAATAAATCCTTTCTACATGGTTAAGGTACAACATTGGCATATATAAGGGCCCTATTTCATTAAAGGACGCCATACACGCTAGGTTATGTATGACGGTTATAACTGTGCATCGATAACTATACAGTTTAATCACATACACGCTTTTTTTATTAAGAAGGGAAAAATCATCGGATGACTGCTCCCGCCCGGGTGAGGTGGGAGGGAGTATCAGACTCTTACTGACTAAAAACCACCCCGTTCCTTCTCCTGCACGTCGAGCCGGAGCCCCGGTTACCCGATAGGTTCTCCGAGGTCGGTTATGCATGCACGGCTAAAACCATCATGCAAAACCTAGCGTGTATGGCCTCGGCCTATGGAAACCGTGGTCGTACGACTGGCCGCGCCACCATAGTATCCAAAGAGATACTAGAAAAAACATTAGGTTTGATTTGGATGCCGTTTGGAACTTTGTTACATTACCGCGTTTACCCTTGATATTGGTTGGTTAATTAGAATTGGCCAATCAGAGGACTGATGACTGAATACTGAAAGGCTACTCAGTTTTAAATTGTACTTAAATATCGTTCCATTTCTGCTATTTTACAAAGTGACAGAACGAACGTGACAGAAATAGTGACTGCCTCATTGGCCGAGTGGTCGAAAGTGCGACTGCTGGGCAAGTGGTCTCGGGTTCGATTCCCGGATCGGGCAAAGTATTACTGGGTTTGTAAAAACCTCAGTAGTAGCACGGAGTCTGGAAATGTGCCCGGTATATGGCAATAGACTCACCGATTCACTATTACATGGGACTCATAACATAAATAGTGAAATGTGAGTGTGACATTGTACAGTGGCATTAATGTGCATGTGATGTGCACCTCTGCCTACCTCATCGGGGATAAAGGCGTGATGTTATGCAATGGATGACAGAACGAAGAAACAGAACTTAAGCGCGACTTAATATTGAGTAGCGTTTGAGTATTTGAACATGAATGCGGTAACGTTACGATCGAAATTATACTTGGCAAGATACCACTCTCTGGTAAGATACCATGAACACATTTTCTTTGTTCCGCGACCTAGTCGTATGAATATGGTACCCTAGTGAAATAAAGATTTAAATTCTAAGTTTCTAACAAATGTATAAGTTTTTAATCCAATATTCTAATAAGATATTGCATAAAACGCGGGTATAAAAACACATTCACAGTAACATATAATAAATTAATCACAATATAATATTTATTCATTAATAATTATTTATAAGAATATCAATCACTTAGTAAATAATACAATCATAATACAAAAGACTTTGGGATACTGATATAAGTATATGAATTCATTTATTTATATGAATAATGTCCATTATATATACATAACAATTCATAACAGACACCTCGTTATAATAAAACAGCTTATAACCGATTTTACAAACCTCTCCTAAACCATCTCCTAACTAAAAGTTACTTAGCGTGACGTAGCACGTAAAATAACCCCCTTTACTTGTACTGTTAGGTATCACTTATTGGAATTAAATATCGCTTAGGGGACTCCTTAAAATTTAGGAGAGGTTGGTGTACGCTTACACCAATATCCAATAAGTATGATATTATTGGATATTGGTGCCCCGCATTTATACGCAAGCGTATATTGGTGCACGTGATATTATTAAAGCCCGCTGGCTTTAGACGCGTATAAGATTTTAACTAATTGAGAATTTAAAATGAACAGAATTACTGGATCCCAAACTGGAACCATTTTATAATAACTATTGTGAGACATATTAAATTAACTAAAAATGGCGGCTTACTCTCGTGTGTATCGCGTATATACATCCCCGCGTCCGCGCCTCTGTGGCTCGAAGCTAGGAGAGCTTTTGTCAGTATATTCACGAGAATAATCCGCGAATTTTTAGTTAATTTGGAACTTTTTTCATTGAATATGACCACTTAACTATAATATAACATTGTAAAGTAAATAAGAATGAATATTGGTATCATATTTCTGTATAAAGCAACCTAGATATTCATCAAGACAATCAAAATACCTTTTACTGCTGTTACAATATTTTCACCGACCGAAATCATACATTTGTACTAGCCTATATATGTTTCTACATGCTCTAAATAATTATATTACATCTCTCTCAATAACCTCGATATTAATTTTAGAGGTCGCTATTTACTTATGAAACTGCCATACAGCCATCCTACTTAATATTATAGATTCGAAAGTCTGTAGGGATGCTGTAGGGATCGAGATGAAATTTGGAACAGGGGTAGATTTATCGTCTTTTTTTCAGGGTGAAAATCATCGAATTTCTTTTTTTTAAACTGCCAAACACCGCGAGGACACCGGTGACCGCAACCTATTGTTCTTTAATTGTGTCTATAATGACGGTACTCAAAGAGTTAAATCATTCAATCAATTAATTAGAATTCTGTTTTTATTACATTTGAACAAATCATTTTTCATATCTTATTCTCATAATAGACTTTTTACTTGACAATACTTCCGTGAAAAAAAGCAGTTTCATACGTAAAAAGACCTCTATTAAATCAGTAGATAAGTCTAACTGATAGATATCCTCTTGCCATATAGTTGGTCCCTACCAGGGCAACATAAACAACAGAATATTGCTTCACCAAACCACACCGCACCTTAGCCACATACTAAATATCAAATAGTTATGAAGTCTTGGTATTAATTGTGACGTTTAACTAATTTTTGTTGGAATTTAAGCGAGACAAAATGTTATTTAACGTTTACGGATGTTTCAGGAATAATAACAGGACATGAAAGATAAAAATCGATTTATTTTTGTCAGATATTGAGTCACTTATGTCGGAATACTGGAACGATACTCAATTTTAAGTCGCGCTTAAGTATAGTTCTATCTCTACAAATTCTTTGTAAAATGACAGAGATGGCACGATATTTGAGCACGACTTAAAATTGAGTAACGTTTCAGTATTCCGGCATTAGAAATCAAAGTTAAAAGTGAGTTTAAGACGCGGCCACGATCGAGATGTACAGAGCTCATTACTATGAGCCCCGGTGTGACTTGAAAGTCGTCGAGCATCCTCGAAAGTTTACGTAGAATATTTATTTAGTTTTTACGTACATCACAATTAATAACAAAATCCCTATAGAATAATAGTAATAAGAGATTCTCCTATAACAATATTACAATAGTTACAACATTGTGAGTAAAGCAACAGGAATGTCTTTAAGTCGTTATACATTATTAATTAATTATTATTATCAAAGTTGGAGCCGAAGTCAGATTATTAAGTCGAATAATTCAATTACAATATTATGTCAAAAACTGGACACTTCGCAAAGACATGGTTTATATGACGTTAGTATTATACCGGGCAAGTAACTTGGCAACATTTTGTCACGATAAGGGTAAATTTGTACATTGTATTTTTGACTGCCTCGTTGGTCGCCAGTGTGACTCGGCCGGGCAAGGGGTCTCGCGTTCGAGTCCCGGGTAGGGTAAAGTATTACTGGGTTTTTTAAGAAAATCTCAGTAGTAGCAGGACTCATAACATAAATAGAGAAAAGAAGGTGTTACATTGTACAGTGGCTTTAATGTGCACCTCTACCTACCCCTTCGGGGATAAAAGGCGTGAAGTTATGTATTTTTTATGGTATATAGAGTGACAAACGAGCAGACGGATCACTTGATGGTAAGCAATCAGCGGCGTCTCACTCGCAACACTTGAGGAGTACAAGTGCATTGTTGGCCTTTTGGGGACTCGGGGATTACAAATAGGGGGAGGGGGATTGTAATTTGTGTATTTTCTCATTTAAGCTTTCAATAAAAAATACTTTTCTTATTCTTACGTTACATTTTTTAAGTCGATATAATCAAAACAAAATGTTGACAATAATACTATATTACCATTTTAAACAAGCATGGTGATTGATGCTCAAACCTTCTCCGTGTGAGAATAGCCCTTTGGTCAGCAGTAGGCACTTATAGGCTGATGGTAATGGCAATAACCATATAATTGTGATAATGAAGAGAAAATATACAATGCACGAAGTTATCCCAAAGACGACAAAATCTTGCCATATTATTTGCTAAGACTATAATTAGTATTTTAGGCCAAATGTAATATTATTCAGGCAGTCTTGGGTTAAGTAATCACATGAACGATGTCATCTGCGAGTCGATACCGTATACCTTACACTACGTCGAGCGAAACTAACACCTACAGGCCACTACTGAAGATTGATATTCCTCCACCGTTTTGAATTTGAACTGGAAATAAAAATAAACAACATTATTCTAATTGCAGTGACGTTCTTCTTTTTCTTTTCTTTCTTTTTATAAATAACCGTAACACTACGATTTTCTCCTGTGTCGTGGGTGCGTTTACAAACATACAAGTTCACATACACATGACACCCAGACCCGGAACAACAATTTGTGGATCACACAAACAGTTGTTCCGTGAGGGAATCGAACCCGTGACACGTTGCGCGGCAGCCAATTGCCCAGCCACCGCGCCAACCGTGCAGCAAGTTCTCCGAATATTATCATTTTAATCTCCACAGGAGGTTATAATAGTTGGCGTGTTGTTCATTATTATAAGCCCCTGTTGTAACTCGAAACCTTTTGAGTAACCGTGTTGAAGTTACACAAGTAAGATAGATAATGAAATAAAACACAATAGGTCATTGTCATGTGTTCATACAAAAGTAGTCTCTAAACATCGGAAATAAGGTCTATTATGGAGTAAGTCGAGAGAAGACACCGGTGCTCGCCGGGCTTTAGAAGTGATCGATTTTGGACATTAATTATAGTTAATTGAGATAGATTGTTAATTTGAGCCATTAGAAAGGTCTATACATACCATTATAAGCTCAGTAGAGGAACAGCTCCGGGAAGTACTTGGTGTATGGCGGCACTGCGCTGGTGTAGGACTTGTGTGCGGCGGGGGAACACGCGCCCGAGCCGGGGAGGAGCGGCTCCTCACTTATTGAGTTGAAGATCTCCTCCAACTTGTCCTTGATCTCGTACTGTAACACAAAGTTAGCAAGGGTGATTCTGTGTATCAAGCCACGTAGCTATACAGCCCTATTTTGTATCTTAATGGGACAAGCCCGCCCCTACCTCCCAAAACCGCTGCAACTCCTGTAAGCCAGGATCTACAGTAGATACAACCATGAAAACACCGGAACACTGAAGTCTGGCGCGTCCCAGGGACATGAATAACTGTCTTGGTTCCCGCAACAAAGTGAATCAGAAGATATTATAAGAGGAGAAGAAGAAGAAAGAAGAAAGCCCTATTTTGTTTGTGAAACTTAAATATAGTTTGCTTACAGTAAGAGTTCAAGGACCTAGTGAATAGGTTGCTTGTGGGACGAAGTGCTCCATCGTAGACCGCATCATCGCTTACCACCAGGCGATACAGTGGTCAAAGTTGCAGCAAATATATAAAAAGAAAACAATTGAAAGAAATCATATTATTGTCTTTACCATTTAAGGTTAAACTAGTCGCGGGCTCGAACTCAATCAAGGGCGTGGCCAAAAAGCGCGCTGTCTCATCTAACATCGTGTGTGACAGAAATAGTACCAGTGATGAGCAGTTAGACGCTATCTATTTGCACGACGTATTGTTCGCACGCACACAAACACAGCAAAACGTCACTGAACGGTGCATATATCTGTGCTGTGTGTGTTTACTCGTAGTAAAGTCGTACGCGCTGCTACGATTTTATGATGCTCGTATGAATTTTAGTAATTATTGTCACAGGGCATTGTAATTACTGAAATTTTTTTATGAAAAGTTGATAACACAATATCCGAAGAATCTACGAAAGGCTAGGGATGTAATTTTGTAGCTAAGCAGTTACTTTTTTTTTCTAAGTACCAATATTTATGTATGTACCTACAGTAGGTACAATTATGTACCTACTAAACCTAATAGGTACCTACAATATTTGTTGTATTTGTTTAGTTTTCGTAAAAGTAGGTAATTACCTAAAAGTATGTTTACTTGCTAAAAATAAAGTAAGAAACGTAATAAAAAGTATAGTTGACAACCCCAATCGAGTTCTCACGGAGCGCGATAGCCACAAAATATAAAGGTACCTAGTTAGTTCTATGGCATAACTACATACAAAGCGCGCTCGAGCACGTAGGTATAAACAGTGAAGCAGGTACATACCTACATGAGATTGACTTCTGTACCTATGTATTTTGTGCGAAAACATTCGGCTTGGCGGTTGCCCGTTGATATTATCAATATTCCTACTTGCGGTAATCTACAATAATTTATTATAAAGAGCCTAAAGAGGTAAAGTTTGATTTATAATAAGCATGATCATTTCTTGTCTGGGTGTTTTTACCTAATTATAATAATATGTAAATATTTAGAAATATACCTCTAAGTATGTATATCTGTTGTCTAGTAGGTACTTACACATAACACAAGCTCTGCTTAGTTTGGGACTGGACAGGGTAGGTACCTACAGAGTTGTGTGATATTGTGGAATATTATTATTACTTAGGTATTATTAGAAAGGAAGGCTAAACAAGCATACCGTAGGTACGTAAACGTAGTGTACCTGCTAGTAAAATATCAATTCGGTCCAGCCGAATTGAACATTGACCTGAACAAATAGAAAGACAGACAGACGGAAAAATAAATAGGAAAAATACAAAAATAACATAACACATAACATAACATCACGCCTTTTTATCTCCGAAGGGATAGGCAGAGGTGCTCATTAGGTATACCCATAGTATAAAGAACATATACTATGGTATACCACTGTACAATGTAACACCCACTTTTCACTATTTATGTTATGAGTCCCATGTAATAGGGGATGAGCCTATTGCCATATACCGGGCACAATTCCAGACTCCGTGCTACTACTGAGGATATTTAAAAACCCAGTAATACTTTGCCCGACCCGGGAATCGAACCCGAGACCCCTTGCCCGGCAGTCGCACTTACGACCACTCGGCCAACGAGGCAGTACACAGTATACAAAAACAAATAAATAAAAAATGGGTTTAAAAACTATTTATTTGTTTTTTCTGTCTATCTGTCTTTCTGTTTGTTATACGTAGGTACCTATGTCCAAAGGAATAAGTAGTTTTTTTTACCTACTTATCGTGCAAATAGCAGTGTGAGTATGAAAAAATCTATGTAGGAAGGTATTTTAATATTTGGTACAAACTGACACTGCAATTTATTTACATTGTTTAGTATAGGTATATCGATTTTACGATAAATAATATAAGTATCGTACACCTCGCACTATAATACCTACGGACAGTTTACTTACAAGCTTTTATATAGGTAGGTAGGTAATTACTCGTGGCTTCGTTGATAACTAACAATTATATTTTTGTTCAACTTACGTACCGCGAATAACACCTTAGTACCTACCTACCTAATAAATAGGGTACGATCGTGTCATCGTATAAAGGGCACCTTGTGTAGGTATAGACCTACTCCTATCCTACCTATCGACACCACACCACCGCACCGGTCGCAAAGCTCCAGTCGTAAGATAAGGGTAAGGAGAATAGTCTACACATACGATACAAACCACGTAGGCCACAGCAGCAGACTAAGTCGACCGAGTCCAAAACAATAGAAAATAGTCAAATGATTTGCACGACACGCGCTGTCGTGCAAAAAAATGTGCAAAAACGCGTGAGCGTCTTCCCTCCGCCCCGCGCCGCTGCCGGGGGAATTTTATCAAATGAAATGCACGATAATTCATCGTAAAACGAGTGCGTATAAAAGTACGATTTAGTGCTTTAGAAAAAAGCGATTTTTGAAAAAACCACTGCTTAGATCAATTTCAAATAAATTTTATAGAACTCTCTGGTAATTGTGCTGTGTCGGTACGGTCTACGTTTTGGAGATTTTACACGATTAGTGGTACTTTTTAACACCCAAAGTTGCGTCAAAATTGTCATGAAAAACAAAACTTTGGTGGCTCATAACTTTTTAATCGTGTGTTTTATTTTTTTTTTGTTTCCGTACCGACAAATGTAATTACATGATAAAACGTTGTCGTGTTTAATTTTGGAGATACAAATTCACACTGTGGAGTAATACCACCCCGAACTTTCTATGGAAAAAATATCGACTAGTGTAACCTTAAGGGAACACAGGGTCCCAGTCATTTGGGAGGCGTACGAGGGGCCGAAGCCAACTGCGCAGAGGCCATTTAGACAACTTTAATCTAAATGTAATGGAGACACAAACCGGCGACTATACCTGTATGCACTATGGAAATGCACCCATGGATAGTCGCTGGTTATTTAAACGATTTTAATGTGTATTGTCATCAAATTAACAGTGTGTGCTAAAACTCAGATCAATCTGTGTTCAATTGGGTACTTGTCAACTAGTCAAATTCAATACTTTTTTCGAAACTGTCAGAAACGATAGTTTTATATGAATTTTGTACGAGATTGTGTATTGTGACGTCACGATTTTTTAGCGTCAAACAGTAAGAATATGCTGGAAAAATACCAAAACTAAGTTAGTCATAAAACCAATTAAAGAAAGTGTGATAATTTTTTAATACTTATATTATTGTATTAACCAGTCGAAATAATGTATTCTTTTATTAATTATTAATATGATTACTAATATAAATAATGTATTCTTTTATTGATTAAGGAAAGTACCCAATTACTAAATTTGACCCAAACAATCAAACAAGTGAAGTTTAATAATACCGTTTAAAATACAAATACAGTTAGTGTTACCTTAGGTTGAGTAATATGCAGTAGATGGTCGAAGGGCGCGGTGCGGAATGCGTTGTTGAGCGTGGCGCGCCGTCGCTCGGCGTCGCGTCGCTCGGCGGCGCTGGGCCCGCCCGCCGCGCGGCGGAGCGCCTCCAGGCTCACACACGACGACACGCCGTTGGCCTGCGAACATTGCATATTTATTTACAACGTTTTCTTTGTCAACTAGCGGACCCGACAGACGTTGTCCTGTAATAATAGTTATAGATAAATAACCTATAAACCGACTGCATCGCCATCTGTCGGGCTGATTTGTGAATCTAAACCATACCCAGATCCCCTTGGACACATACAAAAAATTTCATCAAAATCGGTCCAGTCGTTTGAGAGAAGTTCAGTGACATACATACTCACAGAAGAATTATTTATATAAAGATAACCACGCCTTTTATCCCCGAAGAGATAAGTACGTTGCGGCACTTAATGCCACTGTAAAATGTAACACCCACTTTTCACTATTTATATTACAAGACCCATGTACTAGGGGCTGAGCCTATTGCTACATATCGGGAACAATTCCAGACTCCGTGCTACTAATGAGAAATTTTTAACCTAGTAATACTTTGCCCTACCCGGGAATCGAACCTGCAATCTCTTGCCTGGCAGTCGCACTTGCGACCACTCGGCTAAAAAGGCAGTCTTTGTGGAATAGACATTTATCATATCGGCCATAAGACGTCCACTGCTGAATGAGTCCCAACTATGCCGGTAGGTCGCGACCTGTATTCATCGGCTTCATATGCATGGGATCCATCCCATATAGATATGACGGTCTGAAGCCTTAGTACGAGTTTCATTTACGATTAAAGTATTCGAAACGAGTATGCATTCGGCACTCTGATTGGCCGGCACCAATGAACCAACCAATCACAGCGCCGAACGCGTACTCGGTTCGATTACTTGAAACGTAAAAAAAAACTCGTACTAAGTACGAGTACTCGTACCCTCAGTTATCGACACCTCCCATGAATACCCGCAACTCCTCTAGTGGAGGTGGAGGACAAATGCGTTGCTAGTTTTAGGAGGAAGGGAGAAAAACCCCTAGTCTTTCTTTCGAAAAATGAGGCATTAATTAAAGGTTTATAATGACGATACATAGTATATTACTACCAAAAAAAAGAGTACATATTTAGTGAAGTACTAATCCGAATTATACGTAGAACAATCTATTAAAAAGTACTAATCATTATAGTAATACCTACTTGATATTAAAAATGCATTTATAATCTACCATTAAAATACGTCTCACCATGATAACTTATTAAAATACAACCTAATAACAACATTTGTATAAATATTGATACTGTTTCTACAATAAATATCGTGAGACATACTAAGTTAACAAAAAATCGCGGGTTACTCACGTGCAAATACTGAGAAAAGCTCTACTGATTTCAGTATGTCAGTACAGTCAGGCTGCGCGACATCGCCGCGACCGCAAACGCTGCTCATGAGGAACTCTATGGTTCGAAACTAGTAGAGCTTTTTTTTATTTTCACGTGAGTAACCCGCGATTTTTATTTAATACTAGCTTCGCTACTGGCTTCGCTCGCGTCACAAAAGGATAAAAAGTAGCCTATGTGACATATACCAATACACACAGTGCCATCTATACCAATACTTTTGTTTTTCCTCGGGAATATCATTTTTTTCTGGGATAAAAAGTACCCTATTATTTAATCCGGACTAACTAAATCCGCAAAAATTCAAAGCAATCGGTTTTGTAGTTACGGCGTGAAAGCGGAACAAAGAAATAAACAAACAAACTCACTTTACGATTTATAATATTAGTAAAGATTGATACTGCTATATATATTACCGATTTGTCTATATTAAATAAAAATCTGGTGCGATTTTACCGCAGGTTTAGGTTTCCTATCCCGTCGCGAGTATCGCTCATTGGTATGCGACTCTTGGTGGCCCCAGTGCCAGAAATCATTGTCAGTGCGCTGTAGAGGGACGGAGATAGAAAATAGGAAGGAAGGTTAGTGAGGTGGAAGGAGTATTTATTACTATATAAAATACTTCTTGTATAGTGACGTTTGGAAACTATCGTTTTTTTCTTCTCCTACTATAATATTTTCTGATTAATTTCGTTGTGGGAACCAAGACAATTATTCATGTCCCTGGGACGCGCCGGACTTCAGTGTTCCGGTGTTTTCATGGTTGTATCTACTGTAGATCGTGGCTCACAGGAGTTACAGCGGTTTTGGGAGGATGTAGCGGGAATGTCACAAAAATATAAATTAGTGACGTTTCGTCACTTTCGCTCACTAATAACGCAATATCACATACTTTTGAGCTCTGATTTTAATCCCACGTAATTAAGCGGCAAAGCGAGCCTCTTCCAATAGAAGAAACCGCTGAATATGATAAAAATGGAGGCAAAGGGATATATTGAGCCCCATAAAGATATGACGTCATTTATACATAATTGGGTACTTGCCAATTAGTCGAATTCAATACTTTTTTTCTTTGTACGAGATTCTGTATTGTGACGTCACGTTTTTTTAGCGTCGAACATCATAATTATTTCTTAAAAAATGCTGGAAAAATACTAAAACTGATTGTGATTATTTTTTAATATTTTATTGTATTGAGCAATCGAAATACCGAATTTAATTTTGATTAACGAAAGTACCCAATTATGTACATTTATATTGTGCAAAAGACAATTTATACGGGAGAACTACATTATTAAACTGTATTTGTAACAATACAAATTGATGTATAAGTATACATAAGTGATTATTACGTAACATCCGAAGTTCTGCATGACAGGTCGATAATTGTGGTTGTACTTCTCAATGAACATTCTGAACTCCTCGTCCAGGTCGTCGTACTGAGTTAGCTGAAGACGAGATGAGGATCACCATTTCGAATATTACTTTATATTGGGAAAAGGTAAGTTTTTTTATTCTGTGTGCACTTCTGCCTACATATAAAAGGCGTGATGTTATATGTTATGTTAGTTTTCCCAAAACCTACTTTTTTATACAATTACCCCTAAAAGTGTATGTGAATTTCTGCGAAGAGAAATTGACGAGGAATCGGGTACCAGGATTGCATATAATGGAGAGGGTTAGTATAGGAGTTTCGTTAGGAACGCTGTTTTAATTCTTTATCGTCAGTGAAATGTTTTGGGTATAGTGCCCATATCCGACAGGATAGTATATCATTAGTAAATGCATTTGAAGTACCAGGTTAGCATAAACCAAAAGATGGTACTCACCCGTTGTACTCCGGGCGAGCTGTTGGCACTGTCCAGTTCAGTGCCAGGCGCTGTGATCTCTGCCAGACTATCGCGACCTTGAGCTGCGCCTAGAATAAACAGAAGGGGATCATAGATAAAAAAAAACAAATATAATGTGTACATCGTACACTATTTACCATTTTGACACCATTGCATGATTGTGATTCATCAAATGCAAATATATAAAGTTTCAATCTTGTACATTAATTCGGTATTTAAAATAAAAATCAAACTATGCAAATTTGAAAACCATTTCGAGATTTTACGTTTCCAATTTAAATTTTCGTGGCTTTAAGCACTTAAAATTGTAAGATTACATTTACTTTAACAAAACACACAAAACCAGTTGACTTTAATTTGACGTCGAAAAATAATAAAATGTAGTAAAGAAACTTAACATACTGAATTGAATAGCTTTTCGACTAAAGTTTATACCATTACGACCCGCCCCGGCTGCAATATGTATGTATTATATATAAACCTTCTTTAAGAATCACTCTATCTATTAAAAAAACCGCATCAAAATCCGTTGCGTAGTTTTAAAGATTTAAAGATCTAAGCATACATAGGGACAGACAGACGGCGGATAGCGACTTCGTATTATCCATGTAGTGATACGTCACACGCAAGCAGGTTCAAATGATTAAATTATTTGTTTTGAATATTTGACAAAAGCAATAAAACATATCTGACAGAGTACTAAGATAACATGAATGTAAGGCAGTACGTACCGGCCTCGACCCAGCTGTGTCGATGTGGCAGGGCTATGTTCCCGGCGGTGTACGGGGATGAAGAAGACAGGCGCGTCGCGTCCACTCCGTGGGCCTTTAGCAGGTCGCATAGTGCCATCTGTAATTGTACCAAATGTTAGAGACCTGTAGTAAAGTAAAAAGTAAGCTTAAGTGTTGGAGAGCCATGTTTCGGCACTGCTGGGCCGGCTCGACCAGAGTGATACCACGACCGAGCAGAAAACCGACGTGAAGCAACGCTTGCGTCGTGTGAGTAAGGTTACCAGAGGCCCAATTATCCCCTTCCCCTTTTCCCCAATTTCCCCAATCCCTGAATCCGCAACAATCTTCAAATTCCTAATCCCCAAAAGGTCGGTAACGCACTTGTAACTTTCAAATCAGATATTTTTGATTAAAATCGACAATAGCCATCTCTCTCTTATAATCCCAAATCTTTTTAAATTGCGAACTTAAACCAGGAGCTTCAATTTCACAATATGCTACGCTTAGAACTGAGATAATAATAAACCATCTAATGCTATAATGTAGAGGAGCTCTATAGTCTAGTAGAGGACTGTCACACGGTTTAGTCAGAAGTTTATTAATTTAGAGTGGTATTAACTTGTTACCTGATCCATCATAAGGTAAGGCAGTTTGTTAGGCATCTTGGCAGGAGGCAGGTCATCATAGTCTTCCTGCAGCGGAGGCAATAGGTGTGGAGCATCTTCGCGCCGGGCCGCAATTATCTACAAATAATAAATTCGACATTTTGATAAAAATTACACTAAAAAGATATACTTAGAATATATTTTTTTTCTATTTCTAAGTAATTTCGGAAGATATGCTTAAGTAAATGGCGTACAAATATAAACTCTTCGAGGGTGCTCGATGTATTTCAAGTCACTATCGAGGCTCATAATCACTTCAAATTAGTCGAGTGTTTTCGAATAATGTGAATGAAGTCTTAGAATTAATTTATTGCGCCGTGCCACTTCTTCATGGTGGATGTCTCACCCACTCGCACGAAGTGGAATTCTTTGCCAGTCTGTGTTTTCTAAAGGTTATAAGCTGGGTGTCTTCGAAGCCCGAGTGAACAGCTTGCTTATAGGCAGCCGTGCTCTATCGTAGGCTCCATTATCGATTACCACCAGGCGAGATAATGGGCAAACGTCGACCCATCAAATATTAAAAAGTGTCCTAATATTGTCAGTTCATTAGTAGACATCTTATTGTTGACATGGGTGCTTACTCTTGAAACCAATATAAATGTCAATGCAATTTCAATCCAAATAATCTCAATAATTGTTCAATGTCAACATTATACTGACTGCCTCATTGGCCGAGTGGTCGCAAGTGCTACTGCCGGGCAAGGGGTCTCGGGTTCAACGGGTCGGGCAAAGTATTACAGGGTTTTTCAAAAACTTCACTGTAGTAGCACGGAGTCTAGAATTGTGCCCGGTATATGGCAATAGGCTCACCCCCTATTACATAGGACTCGTAACATAAATAGTGAAAAGTGGGTGTTACATTGTACAGCGGCATAATGTACACCTCTGCCTACCCCTTCGGGGGAAAAAAAGGCGTTATGTTATGTTGTGTTAAAATTATACAACCCCTTTCGTAGCTGTAAAATAAAATTCAGAGTACGGAATGTAAAGACTAAACTCAATACCATTTAGTTCACTCAATATCCACGCAATACGGATGCAATGGGCGCTAGTGTCACAACTCAAGAGTACGAAATTTCACAACACCAATGCCGACCGATCGGAATTGGATTCAAGAGTAAGCCCCATGATGGTGATGTTGATCCTAGTTACCTTGTTGATATAGTCAGTGAGGCGGGTGAGCATCATGACATGCGGCAGTAGTGCTGCCAGGGAGATGCTGATTGCTTGCAGTTGACATTGCTGAGCCACTGACAGTACCGGGTTCGATAGACTCGATTGTTGAATACTGCAAACAAAATATATTACAATTTTTAAATATTTAAACCTTTGACTGCAAACAGAAAACTGTTACGACTGCACGGTTGGCGCGGTGGTTGGGCAACTTACTGCCGCGCAACGTGTCACGGGTTCGATTCCCGCACGGAACAACTCTTTGTGTTATCCACAGATTGTTGTTCCAGGTCTGGGTGTAATGTGTATGTGAACTTGTATGTTTGTAAACGCACCCACGACACAGGTGAAAATCCTAATGAAGGGCAACGTTTTAAAAAAAAATGTTAAAGTCAAATCCTCCGCTAACGTAGGTCATCGGTTACTTGTGACAATTAACGTGTTAAAGAACACAAGAAGAAACGTTTTTATTGCTCACCAGTGTTTTATATTTTGTCCAATCACAGCAGCTCTCAAATATTGAACGTCCAATGATATGATACTACCTGATTCCCTATTGGACGAAGAACGAGAGGTTCACACCTATCATGTGAGTATATACGGTGGGCCCCATTAAACAGTTTCCTACAAGGCCTGCGATGAACTTTTTTTTTCATCGCATGTCTGCTCCCGTCTGGGTGAGACGGGAGGGAGTGGCAGTTTCTTACTGACTAAAAACCACCCCGTTCCTACTCCAGCTTTTCGAGCCGGAGCTCCGGCAACCCGTTAGGTTCTCTAAGACATTTATTGTTGCAATAAGTAGAATAACAAAAAAAATAAAAACATACTAGATACTAAATTAAGTAAAAACGCGTGTTACTCACGTGAATATACTGAGAAAAGCTCTACTAGTTTCGAACCACAGAGGGGTTCTTCCTCACGAGCAGCGAACGTTACGTTACGTGAGTAACCCGCGTTTTTACTTAATTTAGTATGTCTCACGATAGTTATTATAAAAACATAGTAGATACTCACGCCAATATAAGTTGCATGATATCGCAGACCGTCTCCTCAGAAGCTAGCTCGATGCAAATGAGCGCTAGTGTGGTGTAGATCGCTTCCACGTTCTCCATTGTATTCGATTCTAGTTGCAGACCTAGGGGATAAAAACGGCGAAATATTAGATTTATAACGATTTATTTACTTATAAAGTTGTTAAGAAACATTAACTTGAGTTCTGGTTGTGTAAACAGCGATTACGATATCCATAATCAAAAATAAAATATTTCAACTGTTCAATACAATAAAATATATAAGAATAATCACACTTTCATTAATTGTTTTCACGACAAACTTAATTTTAGTATTTTTCCTGCAATTTTTTAAGATATAAATATGCTGTTTGACGCAAAAAAACGTGACGTCACATTACAGAATCACGTACAAAATTCATAGAAAACTGTCGTTATTGACAGTTCGAAAAGTATTGAATTTGACTATTTGGCAAGTAGTCAATTATATTCTGTAAAAAGGATACCAAACTCTTTTGAATATCAGTATTTTAAAATGAAGCTAGACTTAGTAACTATTCCGAAAACCGCAATGATTGAAGAAAATATTAGTTCCTTGGTTAACTCTAAGTTTTCTCTCTCTCTATCTATCTCTCTATATTTTTATTTTTGGAACTTTCGTGAACCACTTATGATGTCAATTTATTAAAGTCGTCATTTAATTATGTATAATGCTTACCTTCATAGAGCGAGCTGAATAGAGCATACCCGTGCTTGCTAAAGAAGATGAGATCCTGTCGGGAACACTTCTCCACTATCAGGCCTAGCTCGCATACCTCCACACTGCATACAAAAATGTAATATTTTTATAGTAACTATTTAATATAAATGACTTTTTATTGAGGGGGGAAAATCATCGAATGGCTTCTCCCGCCTGGGAGAGGCGGGAGGGAGTAGTGCATTTGTTAATTTTTTTATTAAGTATTAAAAACCACTACAATGTAATAAAGGTCTGGAGTCGATCTGATGACGGAATCGAGAGCCAGTTTGTGGCACCGACTTGTAACCTATCAGTGGGCGTGTAAGCCATAAGTACGTGTGACCAATAATAGTTATTTTTTCCTTTTTAACCGACATCAAAAAAAGGAGGAGGTTAGTTTAGTTGGTTTAGTTTTTACTTTTCGTTTGTCTTTAGTTTTTGAAGTCGGTTTTTTTAAACTCAGTGTTTTATAGAGGTACAAGTACTTTCACATAATATTATGTCTTATCGTACTTACGTGGGTGAAGCGAGTCGTGGCGCGTTGTCTCTCCTGTCCAACAAAGTATGCAGTATACGTTGCAGCGTGGTCCTAGCGCGCGGCCCGGCGCCGCCGCCCAGTCGGAGCAATGCTTCAAGGAATGCGGCCGGGAATGCCTTGCTCAGCTCCACTGTACGGTATGTCGTACCCACCTGTAGATTACATGACATGTTTTATCGTTCATCTTATCTTTCAATCAAAGACTATGTTTTGTTTTATCGGATGAACCGGTAAACGAGTAAAAGGATCACCTGATGGTAAGCAATCGGCGCCGCCCACGGACACCCGGCACACGAGAAGCAGTAAAAAGCTAGTAATGCACTTGTAAGCGTTACAAGTGCTCAACCGGCTTTTTGGAATTAGGAATTTGTAGGGGATCCAGGGATTGGGGAAGGGGGGAGTAATTGGGCCTCTGATAACCTCACTCACACGACGAAAGACAATCGTCCGTTGTCCACGTCGGTTTTCTGCTCGGCTAAGGTATCACTCCGGTCGAGCCGGCCCAGTATTCGAGGATGCACGACAAGTTTCAAGCCAGGACCGGAGCTTACAATCGCTATGGTGTTCAGGTTCATATTGATTTTGAGGATAGTCTTCTTTTTTTAGCTAAGTTTTATCATCATCATCAACAGCCTATAAGTGCCCACTGCTCTCTTCTCATTCGGAGAAGGTATTGATCATTAATCACCTTACGTGCTCAAAGCGGGTGGCGATTTCAGACTTATAATTTATAAGCTGTATCAAAGTTTATTAAAGTATAATTATGATTTTACCTTGAGTAAAGACTTGAGCAAGATGCTCTGCAGCATGGCATCAGCTTTAGTTCCCTTGATGGCGCGCTGACTGCTCGGCACCTTATTGATGATGAACATCATAATATCTATCTTCTGGAAGTCGGGTAAGTGGTCCGCGAACTCTCCCAAAGCGTTGATCAAAGCTTCTTGGTACAACTTCTCGTCGGTTTCTTTCTATTAATTAAAAAAATATACATGTAAAGAAAATAACGTTTCTTTAATTTTGAATTGATTACTATACATTGTCAAATAGTCTGTGGTTTGTTTAAACGTCAGTATTATAAGAATTTTGTGTTAGAGAATATGCGGAAGAATAAACATTAAGGGCCTGTTTCACAATATATGGATAGCCGTTATCTACCAGATAAATTTAAATTAACAACGTAATTTGTATGAACTATCTGTCACATAGTTTATGAGGTACTTATATAGAGTTGGTGAATACCATATATACAAATGTACTCTGTGGTGGTGAAACCGGCGCTTAGTCTTTTATATACATATTATTATTTGATTGAGGGCTGATTTTTCCAACGTCAGATGATTGTATCGGAGGAATAGTTCTTGAATTTTTGTGAATTCTTCCACATAAAAAATTTTATTCTAATTTTATTCTACATGATACAAAAAATATTCTATCAGAATAAAATTATTGACATCTGATGTTTTTCACTATCACTGACACTTTTCACTATTTATGAATCCCATGTAATAGATGAGCCTATTGCCATATACCGAGCACAAATACAGACTCTGTGCTACTACAGACATTTTAAAAAAAACCCAGCAATCGTTTGCCCCACCTGGGAATCGAACCCGAGACCCCTTGCCCGGTAGTCGCACATGTGACTACTCGGCCAACGAGGCAGTCAATTAATTCTGTATGAAGAAATACAAAACAGAATTAATTAATCATGTGATGTATGTATAGTGTACACGCAAGCGGTATTATTATTTTGCTACATATACTAGGGTAGCAGAAACGCAAAGCAGATATTGATTGATAATTCTTTCCTTTAATGACTTCAATAAACATTTTATACCGTAGTATGAAATGAATAGTGTTACATACTTCTGAATCTCTAGCGACGGACGCGCGCAAATTAGTCAGTAGATTGTTGATGATCTCCAATACTGATGGTCCTGTAACAATATTAATTTATTTTGTAAGCAAGTTAATAATTATTAGAGGTTCAGTAAGTATTTTTGCAGTTAGGCTTGCTAAAACTCGGCGGCAGCCGATTGCCCAGCCACCGCACCACTTCTTGTTTAATTTTGCGTGTAGAACTGAGACAGTCTTTAGCTAAAGTCTCCAGTCCGGTGCGGGTAATGAATTTGACGGTAGGTAACGCACTTGTAACGCCTCTGGTGTCCCGGGTGTCGACGGACGACGCTGATTGCTTACCATCAGGGTGATCCGTCTAATCGTTTACGCAGTTTCCCATAAAAAAATACATACGTCGCGATGGCGACGATGTGTGAGTGCGCGTGTCTGAGTACGACGCGTCGGCGCGCCGCGGCCTACTGATGCCGGTATGTCCTGTACCGACGCTGTCGGCGGCCGCGATGGCGACTATGTTGCTGAGTACGGCGGCCCGCGCGGCCTATATGTCCTGTACGTACCGACGCTGTCGGCGGCCGCGATGGCGACTATGTTGCTGAGTACGGCGGCCCGCGCGGCCTATATGTCCTGTACGTACCGACGCTGTCGGCGGCCGCGATGGCGACTATGTTGCTGAGTACGGCGGCCCGCGCGGCCTATATGTCCTGTACGTACCGACGCTGTCGGCGGCCGCGATGGCGACTATGTTGCTGAGTACGGCGGCCCGCGCGGCCTATATGTCCTGTACGTACCGACGCTGTCGGCGGCCGCGATGGCGACTATGTTGCTGAGTACGGCGGCCCGCGCGGCCTATATGTCCTGTACGTACCGACGCTGTCGGCGGCCGCGATGGCGACTATGTTGCTGAGTACGGCGGCCCGCGCGGCCTATATGTCCTGTACGTACCGACGCTGTCGGCGGCCGCGATGGCGACTATGTTGCTGAGTACGGCGGCCCGCGCGGCCTATATGTCCTGTACGTACCGACGCTGTCGGCGGCCGCGATGGCGACTATGTTGCTGAGTACGGCGGCCCGCGCGGCCTATATGTCCTGTACGTACCGACGCTGTCGGCGGCCGCGATGGCGACTATGTTGCTGAGTACGGCGGCCCGCGCGGCCTATATGTCCTGTACGTACCGACGCTGTCGGCGGCCGCGATGGCGACTATGTTGCTGAGTACGGCGGCCCGCGCGGCCTATATGTCCTGTACGTACCGACGCTGTCGGCGGCCGCGATGGCGACTATGTTGCTGAGTACGGCGGCCCGCGCGGCCTATATGTCCTGTACGTACCGACGCTGTCGGCGGCCGCGATGGCGACTATGTTGCTGAGTACGGCGGCCCGCGCGGCCCGCACGCGCGTGTAGTCCCGCGCGTCCCCGCTCCTGTTCCCGCCCGCGTCCAGGTGCTGCATCAGTGCCTCCACCACGCTGTACGAGTACTGCGCCTGGACAACACAACACGATCACATGTCACGCAAAATTATATTCAGGAATAGTGTTTGTATAACTAGCTGATTCGTCCGCGTAGAATATGATTCCTGTATTATCCCATGGGAGCATTTAATCAGGATAAAAAGTCTATCACCTATGTCAGTCCATACCCTGCATGTATACCAAATTTCAACAAAATTCGTTTAATAATTTCAGCGTGATTGACGAACAAACATCAAAACAAAGAAACTTTCACATTTATAATATTAGAGTGACAACTGTCGTGTGATATACAAAATTAATAGGATCAAGTAATACGGCTCGCTCATATAGCTTAATACATATAAGTTTCTATTCGTATTATTATTTATTTTTGTGAACCAACTAATCTCAGGGCTCAGTACAATTCTTTTAAAGATATCTAAACGCGGTAACGTTTCGATCTTGATATTACTATACTGTTATTTCATTAAAATTGATGCTACCACACTGTTATTTCATTAAAATTGATGCTACCAGACTTGTATTTCATTAAAATTGATGCTACCAGACTTGTATTTCATTAAAATTGATGCTACCACACTGTTATTTCATTAATATTTATGCTACCATACTGTTATTTCGTTAAAATTGATGCTACCAGATTTGTATTTAATTAAAATTGATGCTACCAGACTTGTATTTCAATAAAATTAATGGTACCGCACTGTTATTTCATAAAAATTGACACTTTCATATTATTGAATTACTTTTAGTATTGTTTACAATCAGTTACCTGTATAGAGAACATGATGATCTTGAAGGTGTGTACTGCGAAGTCGTTCGGTATCCACAACTCGTGTCGGTCGAAGTGACTGTGGCACAAACGTAAAGTATAATAAATTATACATACATAATTAATTATAGAGTATATTCTTTGTGAGGATCATGTTACTGACGACCTTGTGGTTGACATGTGTCCGATATAATAGCTAATCTCTAAGTAAGTTTCTTAATCTTTCATTTAAGTCGCAACGGATGGATTTTGCAGTTTGATTTTTGTGTTTGTAGAACTTTGAGGGATTTTGTTAATTTTACTACGATATTCATATTCTTGGCATTAGAATTTATAGTTTCGGCACTTATTGATCATTTGCTATGAATAAAAGCAAGATGTTGGAGGTAATACATAAAGGTCATGAAAATTAAAAAATATACAGATCTTTGTTGATATTTTTGAACCTGAAAATTTCGCTTACATTTTCTTTTCTTTCAGTGAAACACAAGGATTTCCTCCTGTGTCGCGGTGCGTTTAGAAATATACAAGTTTACATAAATATCACACCTAGACCCGAAACAACAATTTGTGGATCACACAGAGTTGCATCATGCGAGAATCGAACCCGCTATACGTTGCGTGGCAACCGGTTGTCCAGCCACTACACCAACCGTAGACTCAACATTCGGTGCTTACTTATAAATCCCTGTTTTTAAAAATTAAAATTCTTGGGCATGCATGATGATAAAAGTACCAGGCGCACATACGTGAGCACAGGTCGCAGTACGCTGCGTATATGTCCAAAGGACGCTCTCCCCACGAGTTCCCTGAGACACGCCTCGGCTAACCGCGCCGGTTGTTCCTCTCCCGCGCCGCCTTCCATGCATAGCACCGTGTCGTATTTCTCAGCAGTCTGGAAGACACGAAGGTTATTTAAAAAAAGCAACGTCTTATCAATAGTTCTTTAACCTTTATGTTTTCTTAGTAACTGTATAAACTCATTATTGTTAAAACATATTAAGAGCGCTAACGCAATCAGCAGCTGTAGCCAAATGCCATTTAGCGTTTGTCTACTTGTAGAATAGAAAACCAAATTATATAGGATTGACGTAAATTTTGACACTTGTCAGTGTCATCCCCATACATTTAGTTTTCTACTCTCTATGTAGACAAGCGCTAAAGTGGCGTTTGGCTAAAGGCACTGGTTTTTTATGCAAACTTACATACCCTTATGAATGAACTTGACTAAACCGATTTCAATGATACCTCACCTGCATATTGTAAAGCAGCGAGGGCACGATCTTGTCCATATGTTGTGCCTCCCAGATGTTCTCCACCAAATCATCCGACACCGTCTTTCTGATCACACCCTGGAGACATTAATTGTGTTAAAAATATAGGGTACAGACGACATGTCATGTTAATAATGATAATGGATTAACAACGCTACCTATAAAGGTTTTTTTGTATGGGATAAGCTAGTAAACGACCAGACGGATCACCTGAATACTGGAGGCATTACCCGCCTTTTGTAGTTTAGCAATTGGGACGATGGCAGGGTATGAAAATTAAAAATGTAATTAGTCCGTAAGTTAGGTAATGAAAAAATATTAGACACGTATTTTTTATTTTGTCGTATAATTAAACAATACTCAGATAAAACGAATCAAAGTTGAGGAGTGGGGGCTAAAACGTCATTTCTACGTATAAAATGTACATAGAAGTGACGTCACGCGACATTTCAAATCAATACATCGACGAAAGTATTCGTTTCTGTAAGAAAATAAAAAATACGTGTGTTATGATTTAAAATAATCTACCAGACGGACATTAAAATAAAAATTAGGCATCAACCCTATTTAAGGATTGTTGGAGATTCGGGGATGGGGAAATTGGGGAGTGGGGTTAGCAGGTTGATAGTGTATTTGTTACCTGCAGTCCTTGTATACCGGCGAGTCGTATACTATCTCTTGTCGGCTTGTCGATGTGGTTGCTGTGACACATCGCTGAGAATTTAGACACGAAGAAATCGTAGCGCCGGTGGTACGACGGGGTGTCTTCTTCTATGTTCGCGAATCTGACGAACTGTGGGTCAATATAGTTCCCATATTAATTTAACCTTTTGAATGCACCGATATGAGACACAATAGAAAATACAAGGTGTAGTTTTAAAACCGTGGCATTTCTCGGGGGCATGTCACAGAAGTCATACAGGTTCAATGTAAGAGAAAGTTTCGGGCCAATAGTTAAAAATACGGCTATCATAAATCGTTTAAGTTCGACAGTATTTCAGAATAAGCGACAGCAATGTTTCCTATTGGAGTTTTATGGAATTAGAAATAATATCAATTACGTGTTTGAGTTTGTGTGTGTCAAGCCGCGTTATAAAACTAGTTACAAGACGGCGGCGTGTAGTTCGCACTAATGGATTTCCGTAATTTACAGAAAAATGAAAAATATTAACCCACATTTTTTTTTATTGATTCGGACTCAGAAAAGTGGGTTTTACATTGTACAGTAGCATTAAGTGCCGTAATGTGCACCTCTGCCTACCCCTTCGGGGATAAAAGGTGTGATGTTATATATGTATGGATAAAGTACTCACACTTTGTGTAGCAAGTATCTGCAGCTGTGGGTCGGTGGACTCCAGCAACTTCTGCACCATCTTAAGGAAGCTCTCCACGAACAGGTTCAGCGTCTGCGAGTGACATGCCACTAGCAGCTGGTCCATCGCCTCCATTGCTATTATCACGAACCTGGAGACAATACCGCCATTATTGTAGCATCGACAAACGATGACAAATGTAAATATATGATTTTTCAGATGATCATAGGAAATGTGCTATATCTTCTACTATATAAAAATAAGTCGGGTTTTCCTTCCTGACGCTATAACTCCAGAACGCACGAACCGATTTCCACGATTTTGCATTCGTTAGAAAGGTCTCGGGATCCGTGAGGTTTATAGCAAAGAATGTTACACAAAACGAAGCTATCTAGTGTAAAAACAGAGTTCGCCGGGTTTGCTACTTTTTCTATAAATATTTATGTTGGCTGTAATACAAAGGCAAGTAGTACTTGACGTTGGTATTCTGTAAAACAATGGCCTTTTTTGGACTAACCAAGAGAAACAAGGTCATCAAGGACATCCTAGTTTAAAAAATCGTATAACCATAGCTCGACATGCTTTCCTGGTCTACTTAAAATGAATGATTTTGCCTCGACTTGATCTAATAAATTAGTGTAATTCTATGGTTTCCGACCTCCCAATTTAAATGGTATTTTTTTTTAAGGGGGGAAAATCTTCGAATGACTGCTCCCGCCTGGGTGAGGCGGGAGGGAGCGTCAGACTCTTACTGACAAAAAACCACCCCGTTCCTTCTCCTGCACGTCGAGCCGAATGATGCGTCTAGATCTGGCGAATACTCGAACTGCGGCATCACCGGATCTCGCACCATTAGAAATCATAAGTTTACCTACTATTTAACATCTCAGCATGATAGGCAACGGAGTTCAAAGAAAGATATCACAACATGTGTTACCCAGAACCCAGATCTGTTGATTGAAAAACCTATCACAATGTAACTGTTTATAGCCTAAAGTTTACGACTCCCCGATATCGAGTTTTTTTTATCTAAAATGTTATATAGATAATGTTTTAGCTCATGAGTAGTTAGATAGCACTCATCATATAGCATTGTAATGACTATACTTAGGTATTTGCATCTGTTTAACAGCATAGTCTTCCCAAAGGATTAGTGAATAAGAAAATTTCGTATCATTTACTGTGAGTTTTGAAAGAGAAAACTTCAATAACACGTATTATTATATAAAGCTTAGGAAGACAAATAAAAGATGTCTGTTTCTTTTTCTTTCAAAGGCCTCTCCTATAATCCTACACGTCGAACGATAGCTTGCCGCTTGTATCCATTAGCTCCCCGCGACACTGACGGTTTAATTTTGTCCTTTAGTACATAGATAATTTACATAGAAAAACCAGACTTGTGTTTTGCATAAACAAAGAATCAGTTTATAGAACAGCAGTGGTGCTTATGACCAATTTAGTAACAAGGCAGTCAAATGCATACATTTGTTGGAACATAACAACTCCTGCATTTAAAATAAATTCCCAGTAATGCTAGACGCTACCTATTTACACAGTAACCATAAGTATGTAGGTACCTTTAACAAAGAACTCAATTACGGTAACATTATACCTCTTTTATGTATGTTATTCTTTAGCACCATAAAATATAATAGGGTGGCTGAGTTTTTTTAATTATTATGACATCACAATTTATAAATACTACTACTACAAACACTACTTTACTTTCCCGATGACATATTCATCCCGAGATCCATACGAGACCGCTTTCGACGCTCTGATTGGTTGGTTCATAGGAGCTGGCCAATCAGAGACCTTTGTACGACTTTGTTTTACGTTTAAAGTATTCGAAACGAGTACGCGTTCGGCACTCTGATTGGCCGGCGCCAATAAAACAACCAATCAGAACGCCGAACAGGGGGCTTACTCTTGAATCCAATTCCGATTGATCGACATTGGTATTATGAAATTTCGTACTCTCGAGTTGCAACACTAGCGCCGATTGCATCCGTATTGCGTGGATATTAAATGAACTAAATGGTATTGAGTTTGGCTTTATATTCCATACTCTGAATGCTATTTCAACAGCTACGTTAGGGGTTGTATGGTTTTGACATTGAATCATTATTGAGATTTTATTGGATTGAAATTGCATTGACAGTGAGATTGGTTTCAAGAGTAAGCGCCCAGGTCTCATTACTTTAAACGTAAGACAATATTGTACTAAGGCCTCGGATTGCCGAACGCGGTCTCGTTACGATTATTTTAAACGAATAATAAAATAAAAACTGCGTTTAAAAAACCGACTTCAAAAAACCAAAAACTAATAACAAACAAAAAGTCTAAACTAAAAAGCAAAAAATAACTATTATTAGTACTCATAGGTTACCCACCCACTGATACGTAAGAAGTCGGTGCCATAAGTTCCATACAAAATTATTCATTAAAACCTTAATAGGTACCTAATTCACAATTTTGTGAACATTAAGTTATATCATTATGATATGAGCTGAGTACTGAGTACTGCGCGAACAAACAACAAAAAAAAAAATAACAATCAGCCGAACATAGTACCTCCTCCTTTTTTTGAAGTCGGTAAAAAGAAACTCGTACCTCTGATTGTTTGGTACATTGGAGCCAGGTACTAAAGCATTAGAGGTGTGTTACGATTCACCTAGTCAGCTTATGATACACTAGTTAGCAAAGCTGTTTACAGGTAGATTATTTGCCGCCTCTACATAAGAGTTTAGCTATCTCGATTTTATCATGCAATAAATTTTACCTAAATATATTCATATTCATTTATATTATTTTTTATGGTAATTATCTATTACATATGAACTTTTGACCGCAATATGGCTAACCTAATTCTGCTAAATGATTAAATTTCTTTATAAAATACTAAAAATGTTTACATTATATAGGTTTCGAAACTTCTAGACCTATTTTAAAAAAATATTTCACTGTTGGGACTACCGTTGGTAACTTTTACCATAGTATATTTATACTGTGCTTTTACGGTAGTGGAACGAGATACTTTTCTCCAGATTTCTAGAGAACAGAGGCATAGTGAAAATAAATCTTCTAAATACAGTGTGGGTCAAAACCGAAGGCGGAAAGTAAGACTTAAAATTCTAGTAGATATAGTACCTATGTCTGAAATAAATTGATAACGTTCTATCAAAATATAACTGTGGTACATGACAGCTTCAGCGCGGAAGTGATAATCTCGTGATAAGCTAACTGAAGATCATGGAGTTATTGCCTAATATTAACTTTGGCAAGTACTCGTGATAATAAAACCTTGAGAACAAACAAGAAAATATTGAAATAACATTATACCGCACCATTTTTTTATTGGTCGACGTTTGACAACTAATTATATAGAGCTTGGTGAAACGGATGATGCTGTCGACGAAAAGTACTTTAATATACTGTCAGGGTCAAGTGATCAAAAACACCCGCAACATCAGAGGAGTTACAAGAACGTTACCGACCTTTGAATGCACATGGCGAAATAACGCAAACGTTTTATGATGTCCGTTTTCTATGAGGCCATCCGTGCCCATGCATCTTCTACGTCATTAGTCGTTAAAAAGCCGAGTTTCTAAGCAAAACTTACCCATGTCGTCTTCTATAAATATCTCTGGAGGCCTTCTGAAACAGATACTCTCCGATCCTATCAAGCTTCTCAGGACTGGACAAGGAGTAGAAGGTAAGTTTCTCCATGTTGGTCTTGACGAGGCCATCTTGTGGTATCGCCGGGAAGATGTTGTCCACCAACCTCTTGTAGCGAGGCCGGAGCGCGGAGCAACAGCCGCAGCAACCTGGAATCATAAGGACCAAATTAAGAATTGATGTGATCGGCGAGCTGATGAGAAGATTTAGATATTATGTATAGTGAGGAAATAAACTCTATTTAGATATACGTCGAGGTACATTTTATATTAATTGTGGTACGTTGCGTAGGACTTAGGTCTTGGTCTGAAGAACTTGGTCCTTTTGTACAAGAATGGTCTTTTGTTAGCACATGCCAAATTGTCAACGTTAATATCAAACATTTTAATCAACAGGAGCTGTAAGACGTCAACGGCTCAGTGCCGAAAAAGGCCTTCCTCTTAGGAGGAAATTTGCCAAAATTCCTACGTCTCTTACGGGTTTAGGGATCATAGTTACGACATCAAATAATTAGAAGCCGCTTGTTACAAAATTGTACACAATTGTCTTATCAATATTTTGAAGCACTTATAAACAACTACTTAATTATTGTTCCCGATTACAAAAACAACGAGTTTTACGTAAGAGTAGCGGTGAACAACCTCAGTAAGACAGTACTACGTTATCGAAAGTGAGATTTATCTAAACCTTCACCGCGCTATAGTCTCCTGGTAACCGATATTATCTCAATGTCATCTTGGAAATGCCATTATTGCCAATATTAAACTAGATGCAACGTTATTACGTACATATTAGGATAGCTTTTTTTAGACTTTTTTTTAAAAACGAAAAATTTTTTATGCCCTTTTTGTCAAAAAATACTAGTCATACAAAAATCTAATTCTAATGATAATGTGGAACGAAATCTAAAATGTACATAATAACCAAAGCCATTATTTTAATGAAAAAAGTAGAACGTTTATACATTTGTAGAGACAAAGACCGCAAGTTGCAACCAAAAGACCAAATAAAACATAAACAAAATTGCATTATAGCGTATCCTAAATACGGAGCTGCGGAAGGCCTAACGGGTTGCCGGGGGGCTCCGGCTCAAAAAACAGTAGGAACGGGGTGGTGTTTAGTCAGGAAGAGTCTGATATTCCCTCCCGTCTAACTGAAGGTGGGAGAAATCATTGGACGATTTTCTCCTCTCAAACAATCATATCTTAAATAAATCAGAAGTATCAATTAAATGAAATCAAGGATTGATATCGTAAATATATTTCATTACAGTAATAATATCAATATAGTTCATTGTTTACACGATAAGCTGGGAGACTGACACAATTATTGAGTGAACAACATTAAGTGGTTCTTATTGAAATGTTATCAATACTTGCATCACGTCTTTTAATCTTGAAGGGGTAGGCAGAGGTGTATATACATACATATACCGTGAAATCTATTTCGTTTTCGTCCCGCGGCAAAAGGATTTTGCCATAAGGATGTATAAAGTAAAAACAAAAAAATAAAGACGAAATTTTTAGTTTGGTTATAAAAAAAATTTCATGGAAATACGCTCACACACATAACAGTGTTGATTTGATAGTTTGCTTATTGCAAATGGTTCACCAAATATCTTTGAATTAAGACAGTACTTATTAATACTTACATGTCATATACACAGTTCTACTGACAAAGAAACACGCTCGATGAGCGATCTTACGAAGAGGCATCATCTTGACAACTTTATAGCACTTTTAAGTCAAAATAATTGTTCCTAAATTACACTAATATAATTCTTTGGTCGCATATCACTGGTTTTTGAGATTCTTAATTTTATTTTGGACTTATTTAACACATCATTAGAGTTAAAAGTTGATTGCACACGCTTGATAGGTTCCTATACGTACAATATTGGTGTATTATGTCTCAGAATATTTGTGTTAAAAGACTATCTCATTACCTATTTCTACTTTTTCACACACTATCACTATACAATTATCACAACACAAAGTTTCACAATGAAAGTACCTACTGGTGATTATGTGGTCCTGGTAGGTACTTATTTTTTAAATGACTATGACTTACTTAATCGTTTTAATATTAAGGAGAGACCTTAGTTTTCCCCACAATCAATTTGCAAAGACACTTATTAAAATTATCAAATCTGATAGCATTAACATAATAATTTGAATGCACTCAACACGTCATACCAAATAATATAATTTTAACATGTATCAGATAAGTATCTAAACGAAATATTTGAACACATTATTCACTTTGAAAATAAACACATTCTTTTAAATTTAAAAAACAACTGATATAGGTAAATGCACAATTACCGAACAATTTTCCGTGTTTATACACTGATTGTCATATACAACAATGCATTATAAATATCACTTCATAAAAAAATGTATGTAATTTTAAGTTTGTTTACACAGAATTCATTTAATAAGTCAATACGATTGATACATTATTGTTTTGTGAACGAGACACAAGTGTGTCACGCGATTTAACATCGGGCACTGAGATCATACTCGAGTGATAAGGACTGTGTGATAACAGACCTAAAGCTGATTTTACAGTGGTAGCAAAATATATGTGATTAGGTGTTTATTTATACACATAACATTACATCACGCCTTTTATCCCCGAAGGGGTAGGCAGCGGTGCACATTATGCCACTGTACAATATAACACGCACTAGGCCAACAACAGTTTATTAATTAAAAATGGTAGATTAATCCCAACGAAACAATGTAACCAGGAATTCTATTGTGAAACTGATTGAAAAAGAGTAAGTTATTGAGTTTCTCGCTCGTTCTTTTTAATAGGAATCTATGCTTTGGAACGAGCAAATAGGTTCACTAGAGGACTGATCGACAGACTAACACTTTTGATATTTTGAGTGACGTTCTAAAGTGCCTTCCTGGTCTAATTAATAAAAATAATTTTGACTTTGATTTTGAAACCAATAAGTCAACTCAAAATGTCGTGGTGGCCCGGAGGTTTAAAATGTCGTGGTGGCCCGGAAGTTTAAGACACTGGCTTCTCATGCATGAGAATGCGGGTTCGAAACCTACCAACGGCAAGTACCAATGTGACTTTTTCCGAGTTATATGTACTTTCTAAGATTATTTAGACACCACTGACAAACGGTGAAGGAAAACATCGTGAGGAAACCAGGGTGCTTACTCTTGAAACCAATCTCAATGTCACTGCAATTTCAATCCAATAAAATCTCAATAATTATTCAATGCCAACACTATACAACCCCTAACATAGCTGTTACAATAGCATTCAGAGTACGGAAAATAAAGGCAAACTCAATACCATTTAGTTCATTCAATATCCACGCAATAAGGATGCAATGTGCGCTAGTGTTGCAACTCAAGAGTACGAAATTTCACAATACCAATGTCGATCGATCGGAATTGGATTCAAGAGTAAGCACCCTGGGCTTAAACTGTCAAACACCAAGCGGTCACCGGTGACCGCGGCCTATTGTTCTTTAATTGTGTCTATAAAACCGGTACTCGACGAGTTAATAATTTCTAATTATAAGTTTGTAATCGCCAACCCGCATTGAGCAAGCGTGGTGATTAATACTCAAACCTTCTCCGTGTGAGAAGAGGCTGTTGATGACTTGATGAAGTCAACTCATAGTTGTGTATATGCGTCACGGTGTGGATTGGTACTAGTTGAGTACCTAGTTCAAAAAGTTTACGTACCGTATAGCCATGTACCATTAATATTATTAATGTTGTATATAGATATCTACCACGGTAGTTTATTCTCATTTAATATTATAACATAGTTCTATAAAGCGAATTTATAATCCAGATCCATAGGGTAGAATACGTATGTTAATTATTACAGTTGGCGCCAACCGGTATCGACCAGTCTGGAGTTCCCGTGTGGCGATACAGACATTGGTACTTCAAGCAAAACCCAACTGAACTTTCAATGCATTTGCAGCCTTGTATCTTTGTTATTAAACTGTCAAACACCAAGCGGTCACCGGTGACCGCGACCTATTGTTCTTTAATTGTGTCTATAAAACCGGTACTCGACGAGTTAAGTTAAAATTTGGAAAAATGTTTGACGCGTTACGGTTGCTATTAAACTCGACATGTGATCAAGACTTTGTAATGATTAGAATAGACAGGTAGATTTAAACACGTAGGTATTTTTACAGTACTTTCGGGGTATAACCGTGACTTTATTTTTAAGTTGCCTGCCTGCCTCGTTGGCCGAGTGGTCGCAAGTGCGACTGCCGGGCAAGGGGTCTCGGGTTCGATTCGACGAGCAAAGTATCACAGGGTTTTTCTCAGGCTCACCACACATGGGATGGGACTCATAACATTAATAGTGAAAAGTGGGTGTTACATTATACAGTGGCATAATGTGCACATCTGCCTACCCCTTCGGGGATGAAGGCGTGTTGTTATGTTATGTGTTCATTTTTAAGTTTAATCCGTTTTTGTAAAGTATATCGTGAAATTAGGATTTAGTACCTAAGATTAAGAGCCGCCTGATAGTAAGAGTTCATATAGTAACCTAAGTAAGTATACCTCCGGAGCTGCTAACCTAACGAGTACGGGGCTATGGCTCAAACCAGGAGCACAAAATGGCAGGAGTAGGAACGGGGTGGTTTTTAGTCAGTAATAGTCTGACACTTCCTCTCGCCTCATCCAAGTTGGGAGAAGGCATTGTATGATTTTCCCCTCGGCAAAAAAGTAGGTACATTCAATTGCAACACCAACATCAGAGGCATCATGACTGCGTAATAAACCAAGCAGAAATGATTCAATTGCGCCATTATTTTTGCAATATTTACGGGTATTCTAAATAAGAATATTTCACAGTAACAAGCCCTTTCATTAAGTAAGTAGCATAGATATATAAGGTGCTCTATAATTTTTAGCCACGGCTTTAATGGGAGGTAGTGTTATGTTTACAGATTACAATTGTGAAGAAATTTCGTGCCCCGGACCAGTTAATTACATACAGTAATTAAGTAAACATTGACTACATTCTGCATAATGTGGTTCACAAATTACGCGCGATGCGTCGCTTAGTCAATGAAAACAATTGCTATCTCTTTCCACGTGTACTGAGAATGAAAACGGAAATCAGCTGACTAGTTCGTCACTATCTAATCTACTAGATACTCAATAGGCAGGCTAACAAGGGTTTTAAAAGTGCAATTACTTACCAGGTACGGCATTCTTCCGAAAAGCTGATGTAGGTAAATAAGATTATAAACTTCCCATCACACTTAAAACAGTTTTTTACACACTCTCTACCTACTTATCTACAAAACTATTGCACAAGTCCACCTTCGCGTTGCACACAAATGAAGGCACGCTTCCAAACATGTCATATCACATTATTTAACGTGTCCGTTTCACTTTTACTTTGTTTCGCGTTTGACTCCACAAGTTATTGTCTCTATCATCGTAAACTCCGGCGGTATCCCTTGTGCACGCAAGAAGATGACACCGAAAGAACTCTAACACTTCCTCTTCGAGTTCTGATTTGAATTTCGTCGCCTGGGAGTCATTTTTACGTAGCGCGCGCGTATCTCCGACATTAAAACTAACGTGCAGGCAGGCAGGGGTTGACGGGGCTACTGGCGGCCGGGCGGCGCGTGCGACGAGTTCTGCTGGGGTGTGTTGTCTCGTTCTTGAACGCCCCGTCATACGCTGTTGCCATCCTTATCAGACCGCTCGCGCCGGGCGGCTACGAGCACGCTGCACACCCCCCGCGCCCGCACCCTCTCCTACACTCGTCGCACGCGCTGGTCAACCGGCCGCCGGGCAGGCGGGGGTTGAGCTACTGATAAGGATGGCAACAGCGTATGACGGGGCGTTCAAGAACGAGACAGCACACCCCAGCCAGCAGAACTCGTCGCACGCGCCGCCCGGCCGCCAGTAGCCCAGTCAACCCCTGCCTGCGCGGACGTTGTTAGTTTCAATGTCGGGGATACGCGCGCGCTACGTAAAAATGACTCCCAGGCGACGAAACTCTAATCAGAACTCGAAGAGGAAGTGTTAGAGTTCTTTCGGTGTCATCCTCTTGCGAGCACAAGGGATACTGCCGGAGTTTACGATGATAGAGACAATAACTTGTGGCGTCTTTTAAATCAAACGCGAAACATAGTAAAAGTGAAACGGACGCATTAAATAATGTGATATGACATGTTTGGAAGCGTGCCTTCATTTGTGTGCAACGCGAAGGTGGACTTGTGCAACAGTTTTGTAGATAAGTAGGTAGAGAGTGTGTAAAAAACTGTTTTAAGTGTGATGGGAAGTTTATAATCTTATTTACCTACATCAACTTTTCGGAAGAATGCCGTACCTGGTAAGTAATTGCACTTTTAAAACCCTTGGTAGCCTGCCTATTGAGTATCTAGTAGATTAGATAGTGACGAACTAGTCAGCTGATTTCCGTTTTCATTCTCAGTACACGTGGAAAGAGATAGCAATTGTTTTCATTGACTAAGCGACGCATCGCGCGTAATTTGTGAACCACATTATGCAGAATGTAGTCAATGTTTACTTAATTACTGTATGTAATTAACTGGTCCGGGGCACGAAATTTCTTCACAATTGTAATCTGTAAACATAACACTACCTCCCATTAAAGCCGTGGCTAAAAATTATAGAGCACCTTATATTATAATAAAGAAGGTAAGTAGTGTTGGAGAACTATGAGTAACATAACGAGATGTTCCGAAGAGCAAAGTCCAACTTAATGCTTCGGGTCATAGATAAATGCATCGGTAAGCGACATCTACTTATCTTATCAATATTATAATGTGAAAGCTTCTCTGTATGTTTTTTACTCAATCACGTCCAAATGGCTGAAGGGATAGAGATGAAATTTGGACAGGGCTAGATTAGTATGGTCTGAAATAACACATGGTCATTGAATTCTTAAACAAATACCATCACGCTTTTATCTAGGACTGCACAACTTCAACGTAACATCCATTTTTCGTTAATTATCTTAAAAGTCCTATGTAATATGTAACAGGGGTGAATCTATCTTCATAGGTAGGTAGGTAACCTATACCTCTTTTTTGAGGGAGTAAAATCATCCAATGAGTGCCAGACTCTTACGGACTAAAAACCACCCGTTCCTACTCCTGCTATAAGCTGGAGCCCCGGTAACCTCGACAGCAGCTCCGGGTACCTACCTAGGTATACCTATCGCACAATTTTCAGACTACGAGCTGTTACTGAGAATCTCAATACTTGCCCGACCGGGAAGAGAATCGACCCTTAGGTACTCGGTAGTCGCATTTCCGAATAGGTACTTCACCGATGAGTTTATAATTTTCGTAGGAAATTTATAAGCTTACGGTAATTGTTAAGTCAAAGTCAAACTCATCATTTCCCTTAGACTTTTTTTTAAGTGAGCTGTGAAAGTACCTATTTCGTTCCAAAAAAAGTTCATTACCTAATATTATTTACATTGGCTCTAAAAGATTTTCAATGTAATCGCATTCCAAAACCGTCGCTCTCATCGATACGTCGATACGATCTACGATCTAATTGGATAGAAGTAATGAGTTCTTGACGAGTAAACATATGAATCATTCGTTTGTATACTATTTCATCTAGATATTATTATCGGGTAATGCTAACTGACTGATATGTTTTGTCTAGACTTTGGATATGGCAACTTATCACGAGTTGAAGTATTATGATCGTGGTAAATCATCTTTTCAGCCTTGACTGCTGCCCTTTTCAAAACTTATATCATAATATTACAGCTATCTAAGTTTAGAAAATAATTTTCAATAAAATACTACAGAATTTAGAAACCCATGTATAAACCCCGCGTATGTGAACAACGCCTTACTTGCTATAAAAAAAATGAACTAGGTAAATCAATCAAATTTTAAATGTCGTTCTTTCCTACGGTTTTTATAGAGCAAGGCAGATTTAGAACATACCTACCTACCACCTGGTAGGTAGGTATGTTCTTTACCTAAAGTGCGTTAGTAGGTACAAAGTATAAAAATATGTAGTTGTAGTTTATTAAACTTATAGTCCTTCCGTCCATAATTTTGTTCTAGAATAGCAATTAGTCAATAGGTAGGTACTATTTAGGCAATTAAGCACCTACAGAACCGAATGGTAAGGAAATATTTACAATAATATCTACAATATACAATAACGAAATATTTACAATAAAATCTAAATGTCCCTAATCATTGTGATATGAGATAAAAAAAAAAATTCACGAACTTCCTACTTATCCCTTGCAAAAACGACATCAGAATCAGTAAAGAAATTTTCTATATTATTACACATACTTATGGTTAAGCCATACAAATACCAGGGTCACATAACAAACAAGAGCTACCTATTAAAATGAAGTCAAACCTAATGACTGGAATGTAAGTTCCCTTCCTACTTACCCTCCTTCAAAACAAGAATCACTATAAAACACTATAAAAATCTCTACATTTTACGTATCAAACTATCAACAAATACCAGGACCACATAAACAAACAAAGAGTTTAAATCAAACCTATTGATTTTAAACCTAAAACAATTATAATTGGCACTATTCGACAGTGCAGCGCGCTCCGGACGCGGGTTCACAACAGACTGGCTAAATATAAATCATTGCCCACTCAACCAAAATAGATTGCCTACTGGAAAGGGATGACTTGAAAGGGTGACATGTGACATATTTGTAGTTTGTTGATCTTATTTCTATACATAGAATGTTTAGGCACGTGAACCAAAAGGAGAGGGGATTTAGGGAGGATAACCCAGTGATCCGTAGTAATTAGCCAGGTGAGTACCTACCTACTTACACATCATAATATACTTTCTTTGATCTCATATGACATGAGATATAAAGGTTAATTTGGAATACCAAAAATAGAATTAGATGAACTGAAAAGGGCAGAAGTATTTTTTAGCAATGTCATAAATCTGTTTAACAAAGGGCAAGTAGGTACCTTTTAAGAACTCAGACCTATATTGTGACATGAGAACCCATTTAAAATTATTATTCAATTTTTACTTGGTCTCCGGACTTGTATGAATATCTCTCAACGCCTGATGCGGTATGTCTATTAGATTGCAGTGGTCAATAAACTGCAGGTTTGGTTGCCTTAACCATAATGTTTACACAGGCACAGTTGTGCTTACAGAGTAGCAAAATTAAAAAATAAAACTATAACATATTGAGGAAAATTCAACAACTGTTTCAATTAATATAATATATTATGAAGAGGGTTATCTAGGTAACTGATAGCACACATTGACATTTTATTTGTATTGCGGGAATGAAGATGATTAATTTATGATTCATATAATAAAAGACAAGCATTAATAATTTTAAGCATTTATTGAAAAACTAATTATAGTATAAAGTCTAATGCTTCCTCTTGTCGTCCCTACCATCCCTGCTAGATTTAGATCTATCATAGTCGTCATATTTCCGTGACATTCCCCTACCACGCTTGTCTTCCATTCTACTACGCTCACGAGAACGATCCAACTCCCTATCCCTGGAACGAGACTTGTGCCTCTTACTACTACTCGAAGAATATTCCCGTTTACGTTCATATGGGGAACGGGATCTGTGCTCTTTCTTTGATTTATGGCTACTGTGGTATTTTGAGGACAAAGGTGGTGTTTTCGGTGACTTCTCCTTTTTAGAATCTCTTCTATTTGTCTCCTTAGATGTTGATGCTGTAGGAGATTCAACCTTCTTCTCTTCAGCTTTGCTCTCCCGGTCCTTTTGAGCTTGAATATGCTTGTTTGCTTGGTATACTTTTCGTAACAAGTCTACTTTACTTTCCAATTCTTCTGGATTCACTTTAGGCCTCTTGTATAGTTGTAGGATGCGAATCGAGACTTCTCTAATATCTTCCTCAGTGACTTTGAATAAAAGGAACCAATGAGGGTTGTTTGGAAGAGGGAGGCTAATCTTGCGAGCAGTTAGATATATGCAGGCACACGCAATAGTCTCTGGTGGGAACCTCATGAAGACATCAGTGCGGAGTGCATCATTCATGTAGTTCCATGCCATCTGCATCAGTTGGCGGTTCTTCTCATACTGCAGAAGTTGAAGATATACTACAATAAGCTTGTGTGGATGTTTCACATGTACACAGAAGCCAAGTTCCTTGAGAATTCTCCTTTCAGCCTTGATGACTTGATTCTTCAATTCAATATAGTTTTGATCAACGATTAGAGGAGATATATTTTTTTGGGCTCTCACTTGCTTGATGTGATGGAAAACGTTAAGTACGTCACGTATTCTACACGGTTTTTCTTCAACTTTTGAAGCTAAATAAATGCTTCCCATAGCCATAGTTTCCATGGGATATCTTACAAAGGATTTAGAGTAATAGAACCGTTGGAGGTAGATTTGTCCGGTTGCCATGGCAACTTGTGGCAGTTTCAGCAGGATCCCGGCGGTTTGTATCATCTCACATCCGAGAATACGGAGGTCTGTCTCAGTTTCGACATCAAGGCCGTCAGCCTGTGAGGGCGTTTCTTTGAATACATTCTCCGGTAAAAGGCAGTTGTACAACGTAAGAACAATCTTTCCATAAGTTTTTTGAGGTTTTGCAGGTGTTGTCGTGCTGGTTTTGGCTTGGTTTTGCACTGTTGTATTTGTGGTCGACATGTTAATGTTTTGCAACCTTTCACTTGTTGAATTATGTAACTTATTAGGTAAAATTGATACTCAACGTTTTAAATTGTACTTTCTTACTTTAACTCATACATTTTTATAAAATTTCACTGAAATGCGGCAGTAAAATACTATGAATATGAAAACACACTGTGAATCAATGAACGTCATTGACTTGACGGCACTCGACAGAATGAATTAAAAACCAAGATGGCGGCATAAACTTACTATATGTCAAAGACCATTTTTGTAAACAAAATTCTAAAAGATACTTATTAGAATAAGGAAATTATATGAAATACTACATACCAGCCATAATTTTCTTTCACTTTACACACTATAATTATTCTAATCTAGTATTTTTCGATTAAAATACCAAAATACAATAAACAGTCTCTGAGTCAGTCGATCGATTTTAGTGGGGGCGTTCCAGTTTTGGTGATGTTTAGCATTTAAGCAACCAAAGACAATATGCAATAGTTTTTGCAGAAAATTTCTGAACAGCCTATTGTTATTCTAGTTATGTTATGATGATAAAAGTTGATTTTAATAACTTTTTTAAATAAATAAAAACCTAAGGAAATAATATTTTTGGAAACTATTCCTAGTTGATTGGGTCAGCTTTGCACGTTACCTAGATATGTGTTTTAGAGCGTGAAGTTAGCGCCACATGGGGTATTTGCGCCCTTGGCGGCAATTACAATCGGGTAATCAATAATTGTGACACTAAACAACAGACCATTCTTGAAACTGCGCTAATAATTCTTAATTAAATTATTGAAGTCTGTTATTTGCAACGTAAATTATAATAAATTACTTACAGCCTGGATCCGTACATTTTTGCACGAAGGAGTCCAAAAAGTCGTGACCTTCGCCAGCTTCAAAACAACATTTCACGAAAGACATTTTTGTAACGATATAAATTCAAGAATAAAACTATTATAACAGGGAAATATAGAAGAAATTGTATAAAATTTAATTCTTCATTATAATGAACAAATGTATAGACATCACGACTTGTACTGTATACATTTTTAACACTTATTACACAAATCTAACAAAGACTTAAAGACAAAAATATTATTTAGGCTTTTTGTAACTTAATATTTTTCTAAAAATAAATAATCTCTTAGAAGTAGTACACAAAATATAGTATTGCTTTACAGTGTAACGTTAAATTGACTAGAATTAACAAAATTTAGGTCAACTATGTCACATTTCGGAAGCTAGGTGTTTTTTTTCGTCTGAGCTGAATGTCAATGCGATCATAATAACATGTTAACCGCCTTATTTACAATGTCGCGAAATCTTAATCTACATTCCTCTTATCAGGGATCTTGCCAACTTTGTAGCGTAATGCGCGGCAGCGGCTGCGTTATTTTTAGTTTTCTAACATTTAACACTAGAGGCGCTAGTTGAAGAACATATAAATGGAATTATAGACAACTTCTGTACTTTAGCTACTCGGCAACAGATGGCGCTTGTAGCACAAAGACGACTACGTGAACATTTTAATTAAGTTAATTTGTATGAGGTAATAAAAACAAGGTATAATAATATAATACTAATTGACAAATCAATAAGTCGGACTGAAGTACTTAAATAATACTGGTACGTACTTAAGTAGTTGGTGTACGCATCAACTTGGAAACTACAAAGTACGCTCTGTAGTATCGAATACCTCTGAATAAGTACGGTGGCCCTGTCTGTAAGAGAACTTTGCACTTCTTTTCACAGGGGAAAAATCATAAAATTACTTTTCCCGTCTTGGCAATAGGTTGAGACGAGAAGGAATGTCAAAAACCACCCCGATGCTACTCTTGCTTCAAACCGGCGTGCGGCGCCCCGGTAAATGGCAAGTTCGTCCGCAGTGCCGGTTGAACATTGTACTTTAAATTATTATCCTTTATCATACATTCAATCACCTATAATCTGCAGACCGCGACAATCCATTACTGGACTATAGTGTCCTCTGCACAAGAGGCGTTTGCTTATAATCTCCATACTCGGTGGATTATGGACTACAGTTTAAAAGTCCAGGTTTATTTGAGATCGTGGATTCTTTTTTAGTTGGCGGCTTTTTTTTTAATGTGTAAAATCATCGAATGCCTTCTCCCGCCTGGGTGACGTGGTAGGGAGTGTTAGACTTTAACTAAATAAAAACAAGCCCGTTCCTACTTCTGCACTACGAGTTGGAGCCTTGGTAACTGCCGGCAACCCGTTTATTCTTCCGTGGCTCCGTAATAATTGATAATTATTTGGCAGTAAAAATATGATAAATAGTTGGTGGCTAAAGAAATGCCATCGCCAGTTAAAGAAAGGTAAAGTAGAAAAAAGATAAGCAAAAAAGAAAATACCAAAAAGAGTATTAGTGTTGTGTAGTCAGTCAGCTTTTTTGACACCCGTAGGCCGACCAGGGGAGGTGTCGTCACCACCACATTTGTATGTATTCTACTCTGTTGTCAGCTCACGGTAACACCTTATTACTCCGTCATAGATTAAACTATTAACCTGTAACGGTCTTCTAACCTCACCATGCAGGTATTAAAGATATACAGTCCCGATGTGTTCTATAATGTAATATTTTATGTTCTAATCAGGTATTAACGGACACGCAGTGGGTGGAGCGGTGACAATGCGACACCGGGTGCGTGCTGCCTTATCTGGAGAGTACAGTCGAGCGCTACCGGGTTGGAACTAAAGACAATAGTAGTATATTTTCTATTATATTAGAGACTCTATTATGGGAACTGTCAAAGAGGCTGATTGATTATGTTTCATGTTTGGGTTTATTGTGATTCACGTTCATTCAATTCAACGGGCTATTGAGACCATCGTTACTAAGCAATTAAAATGTATTTAATAACTGTCAAACACCGCGAATACACCGGTGACCGCAACCTATTGTTCTTTAATAATGACGGTATTTAAAGGGTTAAGTAGATTACTTAATTATGTCACTAACACTGTGTCGTATCAGCTACGAGACGCACACTGGTGAACATACGAATAGAAGCCCAATGACTTTCAGATCTATAACAAGTGTAAGTGAGGGAGAGGCATTCTTCGGCACTGCTGGGCCGGCTCGACCGGAGTGATACCACGGCCGAGTAGAAAACTGACGTGAAACAACATTTGCATCGTGTTTCGTCGTGTGAGTGAGGTTATCAAAGGCTCAATTACACCCCCCCCAATTCCTGAATCCCCGACAATCCTCCAAATCCTAATCCAGAAAAGCCGGTAACGTACCTATTTGTAACGCCTCTGGTGTTTCGAGTGGCCATGGGCGCCGATTGATTACCATCAGGTGATCCGTCAGCTCGTTTATAAAAAAACAAACTAAGTAATTGAGAGATTTTCAAAATGTGATTTTGAATGGTAAATAAATCATGAGAAGTGACTGGCTGGAGAAGTAACTTCTTATTTCTATAGGTTTCAGACTAGTCATAAAGTTTATTATAAGATTATAAGCATTGACATTGACACGACATTGTTTGTCGAGACATGAATTAAATTATAAACTATTTTCAGCTTCAAAACACATTCACGAATACCTTAGCTATGGCCATTCCGTTTCTATGTTGTCCTGGTAACTGCGGGTGACTGTACGCTGCATTATCGGTTGCGTTTAATAGAAAAGCCGTGTTATTCTCATTATAAGCTTCATGTAGGGCCTGTAACGACACGCCTTTAGAAAGTCGCAACTTGATAACACATTAAATATAATATTTAATACTTAGTACTTTATTCTAGGTTACCCATAGGCAATAGTAGTGGTATTCCGAAAGTTCATATTAGTGTGGGAGAGCCATGCTTCGGCACAAATGGGCCGGCTCGACCGGAGTGATACCATGGCTTCACAGAAAACCAATGTGAAGCAACGTTTGCGTTGTGTTTCGTCGTGTAAGAGAGGTTACCGAAGGCCCAATTACCCGAGATTCAGTGCCCGTTACACCTGTAACGGGCACTGAATCTTGCTGCCTGCCAGCACCTGCTGAGGGTGGCCACCGAGGTTTTAGTGAGGTAAAAATCCCACACTCCCTAGTCATTCTCCCCAAAAAGCTTGGCGCCATTTGTAGGATTCCGGAGGCCCAATTATCCTCCCCTTCCCCAATCTCCCCAATCCCTGAATCCCCAACGATCCTCAAACTCCTAATCCCCAAAAAGCCGATAACGCACTTGTAATGCTTCTGGTGTTCCAGGTGTCCATGGGCGACGCCGATTACTTACCCGGTGATCCGTCTGCTAGATTACCGGCTTACACCATAAAAAAAATTTTCTTCGCCAAAAAAAGATGCTTCCGTAATGAATTTACCATTTTCAGAATAGGTCTACTGGTCATATAGAGAAATGGACCTAGATCGTAATATTGTTTTGTTACCGTTATGTAGGCTTTTTAGGTGATACCATTATCATTTCTTCGATTTCAATGTTTTCTTGTTTTGCAATGGAAAGTGTTTGAGTAATATTTTCTAGTATTTATGAACTTGTTGTGGATAATATTGTTCGTGTAAACAAGTAAATTACACTGATGTAGATTGTCAAGGGGTGGAAACTATACATAAAATGATTTGTATGTTAAACGGAATGTTTATAGAGCTCTATTCTACCAATCAAACCCTTTGTTTGATATCCAAAATGGAGATAGACTGCCAGGCAAGGGGTCTCGGGTTCGATTCCCGGGTCGGGCAAAGTATTACTTGGTTTATAAAAATTTCTCAGTAGTAGCACGGAGTCTGGAATTGTGCCCGGTATATGGCAATAGGCTCACCCCCTATTACATGATACTCTTAACATAATTAGTGAAAAGTGGTTGTTACATTGTACAGTGGCATAATGTGCACCTCTGCCTACCCTTTCGGGGATAAAAGGCGTGATGTTATGTTATGTTATGTGTCTTATGACATATATTTTTATTAAAATGTAATTATTTTGGTACATAATGTACCTGTCCGTAATATATACGAATGTGTAATGCTTTATAATATGTGATTTCATAACAATAATTTATAATGGCTCAATATGAGAACCGTGAAGGCATTATTGTGTGTATGAATGTGAGACTTTTACGCTCATAAGCTTATAAAACGCTTACAAAGAAGTGACCACGGGGCGCCATCATACAAAAAACCTGTCGACTAATGAGTCTTAACGTCCACTCATGACATCATACCTTAAGCCTCTAATCTTAACATTAACCAATTTGGCAGTATGACAAACACCTTCGCCCAAATGTAACGCCAAGCCGTTTTCCTTGCAAATAGCCTCATGCATATGCGGCAAAGCCTTTTAGCTACGTAATAGGTGCTCTCTCACTCGCCAATTTGATTTAACTCATTCAGTCGACCTCGAGGTACAGCCGAGAGCGGGTGTACGCCATCTTTAATTCTGAACTGTCAAATTTCGCGCCGATTCTGTGACTGTGATAGCACTAATTGCCAGCAAAAAATAAATATAATAGTGTTGTGAAATTAATTAGTAACATTTTAAAAATTAAGTGTTTTTTTCTGGAATTATTTCGTGTTGTTTATCTCGGAGTTATTGGCTGAGATCTCGGTCTGTGATTAGTGCTGTGTATTTGTTTTTTTTTACTTTTAGATTGATACCGTTTGAACTGTCACTGTTTGTGCCCGGAAAGGATATATTTCGGTGAGTTTTTTATTTTAATTTATTGCTAATAAATTAATTTATACAGTCTACGAGCAGTCTCAAAAGTCATACAGTTGGTTTCCTGTCTAATATTGAACAAAAAAGGTTTTATCTCGTTTAAATCAGTTTAAAACTTGACTAATTGCGCCGGATGCCTAGTAATCGAGATAAGCAGTGAGCTTAGATATCGATTAATGAGTGTAATCGACGTAAAAGGACTTCGCAAGGACAGTTGGAACTGGCCACTCTAATAAACA